AATAGCCTTAGAGTTTGTCATATAAGTGGGTACTCGCTATACTAATTATTTATCATACGTGCTTTTACCCGTTTTAGTTGAGAAACTTTTGAATAATTAGAAACGGTAGGTATAATTATTTTTCAAGTAAAATGGAATGACTCAAAAATTCTCGTAATATTCGGTATTACTTCAAGAGAAAACTTTTAACTGGAGGACGAAAATTCTTCGGCACCGGCTCTATTCAGAATTTTTCACAGGCAAGACAAAAAATATTCGTCGTAACTTACTTGGAGGAGAAATAAATTGGCACGGAGAGGATCTTGATGCAATCCGGACAATGTTGAAGTATGGTAAATAAATGAATTCAACCCGATTTGTTCTCAAAAGAGACTGAGATAAGAATTAAAGTGAAGAGCAGATACCTAATCGTCGCCAGAATCACTATTTCTCCCTCACAAGAAAAATCGGCGTTTTACCTACTGCGTCTTCACACGATAGTTCGGGAAAACACATAATCAAATCAGTGTTATCTAGCCAACGGAACATGCACACGCGTGCAGTTATGCAGGTTTAATCAATGTCTCATGGAAATAATGATGTCAGACGCATCTACAAGTGTGTCTTTCAAATTACAGTAAAAGCTTGATTTGGCTCGATCGGAGAACTTTCGATTTTGAGCCTAAAAATAAAAGTCCGTGTAAGCTTCATCTTTGTGGTCGAGGGTCGACGCACATGACGCAGTAGCAAAGCTTAACGCCTGCATGATGCAATTATACGTGCTCTATGGACGTCCATGTTGCACATTTCAAAATTGAAGGAGCTCTAGACTCGTATCGGGTTTTCGCTTACAGCAGCGACACGTTCAGCACCGTCAGCGCTGTCCCAAGTAATGGCTGAAAAGTCGTTTGCTCGGTGAAAAACGTATTGTTAGTCATGTGACAGAGACCTAACTAGCTCATCAAAACTGCGGAAACGTAGAGAAATACATGGATTGCACTTTGCAAAAAGGAACCAAGAGCATTCCAATGTCGCTAAGATTGTGCAACTTTGTTTGCCTTGCAAATATACAGAGATCATCTAAACTAATTTTATCTTTACTCCCAATAAACTATAACTTGAAGACGAAAATTACCTTTGTAAATTTAATTTTTTGCATAATTTCAGTAATTTGATTGAATGAATATAAGATACACAATCTTAGCAACATTTGAATGCACATGGTTCCTTTTACAAAATGCAATCCACTTGGTCAAAATCCTAGTCGACTGAAATCGTGGATTTATACTTTTACCGTGCATTTCTTAGAAATGAAACCGATCTGGCGTGTAAAGTTAAATTTTATCTTACTGTAGGATGAAATTTGTAGTTTTCCAGACGAAGAAAACTCTTTTTCGAGGTTGCCAAATAGACACAAGAAATCTCAATTTACAGTACTAAGACCTCGCAATTCATACTCAAAATTTTGCTACCTAATTTTTTTGGTGTAATCAGTAAACAAGAAAAATCTGTGATCGGTGTGAGTTTAAAGAAGAAATGTTTAACAGTTTCTTGATAAAAATACAATTTTTTAGTAGAGAGGTTGCAACGTTGAAATCTAAATTACGTTCTTTTTTAGGGACGACAAATTAAGCAATGGGATTTATCAACATTGAGGATTTTCAAAAGAAACTAGGTGCAATTGTTTAAAATCGATAAAATACTTTTGCTCGCCTCTCGCTCACTTCAAAATTCGAAAATTTTGAGGTAGTATTTTTGAAGCGAAGTTTTTTAATTTGAAGTGAGCGAGAGACGGTTAGGTCGAAGACAGTCAGCCACTAACAAAAAGCGCTCAAAGCTGCATTAAACTAGGCCACCTCCGCCATTTTGGATTTGGAAAACTTGAGTTGAAATTTGAGTTTCCCATCCAAAAATTACCGTTGAAACCAGTAAGACTCTAACTCTATACGATTATAAACGATACCGGTCCATTTGCGTACTTTAGTGCGCCTTCATTTTCGTGAGATACTGTGCAATACTCCTGTGGCGGAATAGTTGCTCAAAGCGCCTTTAAGATTATCGTTTCGACTTGATGCTAGAAAACCACAATGGGTATTTGACCACAATTTGTCGTCCCTAAAAAAGAACGTAATTTAGATTTCAACGTTGCAACCTCTCTACTAAAAAATTGTATTTTTATCAAGAAACTGTTAAACATTTCTTCTTTAAACTCACACCGATCACAGATTTTTCTTGTTTACTGATTACACCNGAAATCGTGGATTTATACTTTTACCGTGCATTTCTTAGAAATGAAACCGATCTGGTGTGCAAAGTTAAATTTTATCTTACTGTAGGATGAAATTTGTCGTTTTCTAGACGAAGAAAACTCTTTTTCAAGGTTGCCAAATAGACGCAAGAAATCTCAATTTACAGTACTAAGACCTCGCAATTCATACTCAAAATTTTGCTACCTAATTTTTTTGGTGTAATCAGTAAACAAGAAAAATCTGTGATCGGTGTGATTTTAAAGAAGAAATGTTTAACAGTTTCTTGATAAAAATACAATTTTTTAGTAGAGAGGTTGCAACGTTGAAATTTAAATTACGTTCATTTTTAGGGACGGCAAATTAAGCAATGGGATTTATCAACATTGAGGATTTTCAAAAGAAACTAGGTGCAATTGTTTAAAATTGGTAAAATACTTTTGCTCGCCTCTCGCTCACTTCAAAATTCGAAAATTTTGAAGTAGTATTTTTGAAGCGAAGTTTTTTTTATTTTGAAGTGAGCGAGAGACGGTAAGGTCGAAAACAGTCAGCCACTAACAAAAAGCGCTCAAAGCTGCATTAAACTAGGCCACCTCCGCCATTTTGGATTTGTAAAACTTGAGTTGAAATTTGAGTTTCCCATCCAAAAATTACCGTTGACACCAGTAAGACTCTAACTCTATTCTATACGATTATAAACGATACCGGTCCATTTGCGTACTTTAGTGCGCCTTCATTTTCGTGAGATACTGTGCAATACTCCTGTGGCGGAATAGTTGCTCAAAGCGCCTTGAAAGATTATCGTTTTGACTTGATGCTAGAAAACCACAATGAAAGCCCTCGCACGTATGGGGGATTTGCGATTGAAATACTTTTTCCTGCGTTAAATTTTGCGAGAAACACGATGATACCACTGGTTTTCTCTGAACGAACTCCAAAACTCCAAAAAAGCTCTCAAAATCGAGACCGCAATGGAAAGGATACCTACCAATTCCGTGCTGTCCTGAGCTTCCACCTCTATGTCTAGTCAAACTCTCCATGCAATGATAGAGAGCAAGTAAGTACATTAGCAGGTCAACGTGTCTCCAGTTTTGGAGCCCCCTAACAAAGTGGCAACCCTGTTAATATATTTGCTCTCTGTATTCGCTTCGAGATTTTGACTTGATGTGGAGGTGCGGACTCCGAGTAGAATATTCTCTCCATTACGGTTATGACCACAACTTTGAGAGCTTTTTTTGAACTTTGGAGTTTGTCTTAGAGAAAACCAGTGGCACCATCGTGTTCCTCGCAAAATTTTTCACTGAAATTAGTTGTTAAATCACAAATTCCTGACAGATGAAAGACGAAAGAGCTTGATTGCCGCTGAACTCACACTTAAGCGCGGGAGCAGTCACACATTTTCTTATCATCGACGGTCATGTAAAATACATTTATACCCCAACAGGGCCGGATTTACCTACTTGCCGCCCATGGGCCGCCTGTATTTTACCGCCCCTTCCTCATTCGTTTTGAAACATCAATAAAAACCGTCAAGTGAACGTGCCGGAGGGAGAGGGATGCGTAAGACGCGTTTACTCGAGTTGGATACATTTTTTGCGGAAGCCCTGTCAACACTACTAGCAAAAATTCACGGAACTTGACGCGAAAGTTAAGTTCCGTAAACCTGTCTCTGTGTGGACAATGCCTTCCATTAATAAGAAATGAACGAAAGAATTATGAAACAGTTTCCTCACAAAAAAGTTATAGAGCGCGTGGATCGAGGTTACATTAGATAAGAGTGCATTGATTTTGAAACTGAATGAAAAAATAAAAGATATCTCGATTGCAAAGTTGGATAATTTTTGAAGGCGTCAAGATAGCATTTTAGGCCGCCATCTCCGACTTTCGAATTTTGAAAACAATTATTCCAGTTTCCGTTAAAAATGCCACCTGGCACCAAGTAAGTCGCACAAATATCGATTGAACAGGAGCCGCATATTGTAGGATCAGTAGGACTCCACACAGTGACAAACGAACCCGGTCAACATACATACATTAGTGCGCCTTCATTTTCGTGTGATACCGCGCAATGCTTATGTGGCGGAATAGTTGCTCAGTGCGCCTTCAAGAGTACCGCTTGGACTTGATGCCAGAAGACCACGATTGCTGATGAATCAGACTCAAGCGCCTGTGCGTGTGCAGTTACACATTTTCCTTAGAGAAATAAAAGAAGGTGTTTGCTTTTCGGGCATCATGGAATTTTTTTAATGACGTAGGCCGGCACAGCGGCTTTTATCCTCGATTTTCTTGGAAATGGTGTAATTTATGGAAAAAAGTCATTCTACAAAAAGTGCTTGAAATTATATCATGAGTTGATTTAAGCAAAAAAAAATGGGACATTATGGTCCGTTTTTCATACTTCGAATTCCGCATTTCGCTGGCCAGGTTGTACCGACCTACGTCACAGAGTAAACAAACCTCAAGATGCAAGCACCTCCTTTTTTTTTCTCTATGCACATTTTCTCATCACTAACGGTGACGTAAAGTACATTCATACCTCAATTTGCGACGTTGCAAATTTTTCACTGTCGGAAATCGATTAGCGGTTCCCTCAAACTACAGTCACCCCGTGCATTACCTCCAAAAGTCAACGGTCAAAGCCCTCTAAAATTTTCATGTACATCCCCAGGGCCGGATTTACCTACTTGCCGCTCATGGGCCGCCTGTATTTTGCCGCCCCCTTCTCATTCGTTTTGAATCATCAATCAACAAAATTATGAATTACTATACTCTCAGGAAATAAGAGATTTGTCGCCTTTTCTCGTTTGTAATTTTTTTCGGAATCCTATTTTTTTTATACCTTCATTTAAAAAAAAGTGCAAAACTTGCCGCCCCCAAATTTGCCGTCATGGGCCGTGGCCCATGTGGCCACCCCCTTAATCCGGCCCTGTATATCCCTTTGAAAATTCTTTTTTCAGAATGTAAAAACTGGAGTTCTTAGTAGGCCGAGCACCCTCACACAACGACAACACTGTAGCAGCTGGCGAGCGGAACCCCCTCTCCCACCCTGTCTCACTGCACTGCTGATTGTTGCCAGCTTTTACGGATTCGATCATCTAAAATTAAAAAAAAAATCCACCTGATTCGCTCGAACTTTAGCAGACTCGTGACAAAAATAATATGTTATTTTGAAAACAGTTATTGAATCGCTCTAAAGGAGTAGTCTCCGCTCCCATCCCAATAACACGGTTAATACGATACATTTGGCATCCCCGCATCCTCCCAGCCGGCCATCATCTGTCCTTTGATTCCTTCTCTGTTCCAATTTGTGCCGATTTGGTTACCTTTATCAGCTTTCCTGTGTAAATTAATCTCTTCGTTTTAACAAGGTAATTAGTCAGTCGTATTAAATTAGAATGCTTCGCCTTTTACGCTCCGTCTGAATGTGGCCTCTTCATGTGATGCAGAAGTGTGTGCTGAAAAGTGTGACTTCTAAGCCTATTTAGGCCTCACTTCACTCATTGAAACCTTTATCAGTAAATGCATTCTTCTGGAGCTTACAGTGTGTGATACATGGTAGAGTTTCGCTCCTCTCATGGGCTTTAGTATCTAAGTTTTTACTGCTGTACCCTTACTTCATTAGTTACCCTTCAAGAGAAGCCACAGAACGTCACTCATAGTGCCTCTGTGCCACCCCAAATCCTTTGCACTCACGCATTGGTTCATCACAAACACAGATCAGGACCTCAGGTTCAATAAATGATATTTAATTCCTGCCGTATTAGATGTCTCAGTTTTGCCCCTTAAAATAATCATTAATTCACAGCGGTTTCTACTTGCAACAACCGTGTCATGGATATGCCTTATTGGTTAGCTCTCGGAATTATCTGAAATTTTCGTTAATTCAATTTTAAAGTGTTCAGTTAAGACTTCTCTCTAATTCAAGCTTTCACAGCATGTTAGAATTGAGTTCCCACCCTAATCTTCCGTTTCTAGGTACCCACCGACATTTGAGTCCGCCACTCAACTGTCTGGCTAGAACGTTTGCTGATATAAATCATCTGTTAGCAGCAATCTCACTATATAGCAAGTCATTTGTCTTGGCTTTTCAGAATATTCGTTTACATGCATGTCCTCTGAAAAGAGTCCTTGATTCAAACCTTTTACTTACCAAAAAATTAAGACATCAATTAGTGCCGTTTTACGGAAATTATTTAGAGCTCTACTTACTTTGTTAAAGTCGGAGTTCTTAATTTGTTTGAATTCTTCAGCTTGCTACAAGCTATTTAAGTAACAGCTTTCTGACACATGATCATCGTTAATTTTGAAACAGAGATGGTAATAGTTCAGAATAGCGCCATGTCTGACACCAATGATATCAACGTATTTCGTACTCATAATTAGTTTTTTGCGTTATCACATCTGTATTGCTTGTTTCAGATCAAAATGGGTCCTCCATTGTATGGTGATTTAGGTAAACAAGCCAGAGATATCTTCAGCAAAGGATATCACTTTGACCTCATCAAGCTTGATATCAAAACCAAAACCCCAACTGGGGTAGAGTTTGCAACTGGTGGCACATCCCAGATTGAAAGTGGAAAAGTATTTGGTACAATCGAGTCCAAGTATAAATTCAAGGACTATGGTAAGGCTTTCTCAACTTTCATGAAGATTATGTCTTTAAAGATGTCTTTGAGAACTATTTATAAGGGCTTACTTACGATGTACTATTTTAGGGAGTATCCTAAGTTTTTAAGAAAAAAATGAGAAGTTTGTATAGATCTGCAGGATCATTATTCCTAACTATCATATATTTTATGCTCTAGCACACCGATAATTAAGAAAAGAAATATCACTAAATACGCTTCAAAATCTCTAGTTACTAATATTTTAAGTTTTAGAAATGATGCGAGTGCGTTCACTCCTATATTATTCATTCATGTTTCATCTTAAATAAATGTCTAATAAGTGTGTTTATTTTTACAGGTTTACTTTTCTCCGAGAAATGGAACACGAACAATGTTTTATCCACCGAGCTCTCTCTGACAGATTTCTTCCCTGGCACCAAAATTTCTGCAGACTGCTCCTTCGCTCCTCAGACTAGGTAATTTCCCAGTTCATTGGCATAAATATTAAGTAGCAGTAGTTTTAAACCAATCCATTAGGTATTATACTAGAAAAAGCTGTTTTGTGAGAAATGTTGGTGAGTGTCAGCTGTTTTCATCTGTGGTTCTCAGATAAAATGAATGTTGCCTGACTTGGTCCCTGTCAGCGCTACAATTTTATTAGTTGCACATTGTCCCTCTTTTGACGTAAGAGCATAACTGCATTTTGAGATAAACTCTTTCTTCTATAGAATTCAATGCTTTCCAGAGCTCACAAGAAAATTGAGATACACTCTTATATCAGAGGGACAACGGCATGTTCACTCCTAGCATTGAAGTTATAACATTGCTCTTCAGTTTATTGGGAAAAAATGTTTTTAGGCACAGGAGTAAGAAAAGCACAAGAGAAATGAATGTATTTATTAGATTAAAAAAGCAAGATTTTGACTTTAATATCTGCAATTAACACTAAGCAAAAATTTTAATGGACCTGAAAAATCTGAAAGCCATTTGAAGGTTTGACTTAAGGTGATTCGATGGACGCCATATTTTGTGTCAGAATGGCATGCGATATATCGCATCAATTGGTTCCATTTTTTCAGCTACTAGTCATTTTTCTCCTATTTTGAGATCACAATTCTGTTGTCAGGAGACTAAAGCACTCACTTACCAATTTTAACAAAGAAATTCAACGTATTAAAGGCGTGGTTTTTTCGGAGAGAAAACATCGCATTCGATACTGATATCGAAACTGCACTCGAATGCGATATTTTCTCTCTAAAAAAACCACGCCTTGAAAATTCCGCCGTTCCGCCGAAATTTCGCCGTTGAAATTCTTTGTTAAAATTGGTAAGTAGTGCTTTAGTCTCCTGACAACAGAATTGCGATCTCAAAATTGGAGAAAAATGACGAGTAGCTGAAAAAATGGAACCAATTGATGCGATATATTGCATGCCGTTCTGACACAAAATAAGGCGTCCATCGAATCACCTTAATGTGAATCAAACATTTGATACCCAGATGTCTCCTCATCAAGGAGGAATGTTCATATTTGAGCAATGTTATAATGTGCACCTGAGTCACAGCAAAGAAAATTAATTGAGTTTTTAAGGTTGAATCACCTACCTGTCAACTATCACTAAAAATGTGACTAAAATTGGGATTAATCTGAAATTAAAACACTGCTACCTATAAATGGCTTGGCAGCTTAATCACTGCTCTATTTTTAGAACAGTTTTAAAAATCATTCTTTTGATATTATCACTGAATACTTCTGGTGAAGTGCAACATTCGTTCTTTACAAGTAGAATTCTCAAGAATGCCTGAATATTTTAGCAGACTAAATGTTGACTTGAAAGTGCTGTAACATGGGGGTAAATCACCTCATCTGATCAAGATCTTTTGAAGGATGGTGATGGTATCTAATTCCTCAGAAAAACATTGTTTAACGTGATATTAATTGAAAGTTATGCTGGATGGTTTGAAGTATTGCTCAAGCCACAAAAATTTTCAGATTTCGCTCAAAATTTTCCGTAAGAAATGTCCAAAACCCGATTTTTCCTAACAACCGGACAGAGTGCGAATTGAAACTAGGCTGCACTGAAACCAGTTGGTAAATTATTATTTCTCTGTTAAGTAAAGACAATTAGCCCTTCAATTAAATCAGCTTTTGTTTCAATGATGATGGTGATGAATGTTCTATACAATATTCCAGAATTTTTAATAATCACACATCACCTGCCAAATAATTTAGTGGTTTCAGTTAATGTCAGTAGGCATACACCATCACAATTCTTGTATTTAAATCTGTGGCCATATCGTTCAGCTATATTATTAATATTATATAATTCTTGAAATGGAACTTTCTTCTCTTATTCTCATCTCTTAATTTTTTATGGAATCTGATTGCCTTTACTTTACTAAATATCTCGTATTACTTCAATCCATCATTAACTAGAAATACTTTCGTCCAGCTGAGTTTTGAAGCGCTTGAATGAAGATCTCATAAGATTTTATTTTCTGTCATGCCTAAGAATATAGTATTGCAACCTTGGACCAAGTATGAGAATTTCATTTTACCAAGATGAAGTTTGAAAATATTGAGGAACTGCATATGATATCTTGACGCTTAATATTTCAAAGATATCCATGAGAAAAAAACATCACTAACTGTTTTTGAAAGAATGGACGAAAATTGGCAGAATCAGAAGTTCTAATACCCACACTACCAGAACCAAACATCAACATTCACCAATAATTCCATTGTCATCTCGAGTTGTGAGCCCTGCGGTTACCAAATCAGCTTGTCTCAAGAATCCTATTTGAAACCAACACACTTTTAATGAAAGTCTCAACCAGAAAATCTATCAGTTTACAGAACCGAATTGCTCATTCTCCCTTTCAAATAGGATCCCAAATTTTCCAGTTATAGAACATGAATTTTTGTGTGTGCTGAACAGTTGATGGTTCATTTCTTGGGCACATTCTGGTGACAATCCTCAGGTCCTATCACAAATGAAATGTAATGATCAATGTAACACTTCTTTGACTTTTTCTATTAACATATTTATTTTCTTGTTCTGTGCAGTGAGAAGTCAGCTCGAGTAAAGAGTCAGTTTGTCAATCAGTTGGTGGCAATAAACGCTGAGGCTGAATTCAAGGCCCCTCTTCCTTTGGTCTCCTTGGCTGCAGTTTTAGGACATAAGGGTAACGCTCAACTTTTCGTCAAGTCATAGACGGCTTGCCCAACATTTAGCTACAGTAGTGTTGACTGATCAGTCTTTTCAATCGTCTCAGTTGTCAAGTTTTATTTCTTCGCCAAACGTAACTTTTGTCTTTTCAAAATTTTGTCATGGCCTCTTCATCTAGGGTTCCAATCAATTCAATTACCTATTTAATTTTTCAGTGATTAGTAGGTGTATGTTCCTGTATGAACAACCAGTTAGAAAATACAGAATCAATGCATCTCAGTTTTTACTCACTGTAGCAAAATTTATTCACGAATTCAATCGTAGAAATAAAGTGACTCAGGTTCATGGCAACACTAATTTTTTCTCTCCCTTTTTGCTGAATGACATCCGAAATGATACCTTAAGTATGATTTTGCTCTGAACCTGTTTGTTATTTTTCTAGGTTGGTTGTGTGGTTATCATTTGAAATTTGACACGAAAAGCAATAAGCTGAAGTCAAACAAACTGTCTCTCGGCTATTCCGCAAAGGATTTCCATGTTCAGTCACAGATGTAAGCAAAAATTTTAAAAGTTTCTAACTTATATTACTCCCACAAGTTGAAAATATAGACTAAAGTCTATAAGTTGGTCTTTCACGCTCAAGTTTGTTATGTAGGTAATTCCGTTTTATCTCTAGCTTTTTGACGGAATCTCCTGAGCTTACTCAAGCAATTAGGAAGTGACGCATAGCAAAATAGTTTCAATTCAGAGATTGTGTGCTCTAGCAGCAGTACTAGTATTACTAACTTGTATTTTACAAGTCTAGTGTCTATTGTGTGCTGCAGAATCCTGCCATTCATAGAGCTTTTGAACACTGCAGTATTTATTGGTAAATCTAGAATTACACCGATATTTTTCTTGAGCACCCAAGCTCCAAATCAAAGTTTTGAGAAAAACGAAAAACATTCATTTGGCAAGTGCTCAATCTTTTGAGCCCATAAAAATTTGTGTCTAAGGTAAGGTTGTGTCTAAGGTGTGTGTAACTGGGTTTGAATTGAATGCACGTTGAATCAGGGGTGGATACTGCTCTATGCTTTCCACATCATCGACAGTCTGCGGCTGCGTATGTTTCCACAATTATACCCTTTCTTCCTTTAATCTTGGAAGTTTTCACCCAGTTTTCGAAATTATGGCAATGGTAACAACAATACTGTGAAGGGCTTCCACAAAATTTAAATTTAAAGAGACAGTCACTACTTTTGAACCACCCAGAAGAAAGAAAAAATTGGAGGGCTCTCTGCAAAAACAGCGATCCTAGGATTGCGTGATGTAGGATATTATCAGTCCCTGCGCCGAATGGCTTACTTTTCTCTGTTTCTCTGAAAACTTGGATTTTGGCGCTTGGGCCCATAAGTAAAGCATCGGTTCAATTGTACCAATAACGCTCCTATGCTTTCACAAAAAGTCTTTCTAGATCGATTTAAAGATGGACCTATAAAGCTACCAGAAACTTCTGAATTCCAGTAAAATTTCATTCATTACTTACAGGTTGTCAAAACTATGAGCTTTTTGACTGTGATTTTGTTGGCTATGCCATACAGTTAATTTGACGGAGACAGTATCCTAACAAGATGCCCAGCAACTGGGGAATGAGTTTTTTTGCATAACTTCATTACGCTTCATATTTAGCCCCACAGCATTCTCCTCGCTTGAAGTTAGTCTTTCACTCGTAAATTCCTCTGGTTCGCACCAGTGCCTTATGCTAAATATATTATTGTGTAACTTTAAATCTGGACCAAAAGGTCAGGGAGTATCAGGGAAAATCACGGAACCAGAAAATGCAAGGGCCAGGGAAGATCTGGAAAGTTAGAGACAAGTGGGAAAAAATGTAGCTAGATGCCTTGCTAAAGTATGAAAATATTCTAAAAGCTCGTACCGTTAAGTAGTAAAAATCAGCAACTGTAAGTTTTCTCTCTCTTCTCTTTTCAATATCAGTCTATTCAGTTTTATTTTTTCAAGTTTTGTTTCCCATGAAAAATGGTCCCGATTTCTTTTTCAGCAATGACGGTAAAGAATTTGGAAGTTCCATCTACCAGAAAGTAAGCCCAAAATTAGAAATTGGTGTAGATCTCGCCTGGTTCACTGAGAATAATGACACCAAGCTTGGTATTGGTTTGAAATATAACTTAGAAAACAATGCTGCCCTCAAAGCAAAGGTTGACAACCAGAGCCGTATTGGTCTTGGATACTCCCAAACTATTTCACCAGGTATGTTTTCCAGTAGGTTTTATTTTCCAAGACCCTTAAATCATTATCAGTTTTCAGCACTTACACTGCTTTCGTGCGGATGTGTGATTTCCCACTTCTACAGGAGTGTTATATTGACGTTCTCTGACATCCACCTACTCGTAGCAGGATTTTGCAGGCAATCCTGTGCTGATGTCTTACTCATTGTAGGAGAACTTGATGACAAGACGGAAAAATATGCCCTAAGCTAGTAAACGTCTGACTTGAACAAACTCCACTTTATCCAAAAATAGATTGAATTGCAGGGTTGCCACGGTCAGGGAATTCAGGGGAAACCTGGAAAAGTCAGGGGGAAAAGAAGTGCTCTGGAAAACCTGGAAAAGTCAGGGGAACAAAAAGTGCTCTGGAAAACCTGGAAAAGTCAGGGAATTTGACCAAAAACAGCTAAAAGTCAGGGAAAAATTGACTATTATTGGGTTGCTCAAGAAAGTCAAAAGCATCAAAATTAAAAGAAAAAGTTAACAACCCTTTTTGTATTTCCAAATGTTCTACAATTAATTTCTGACTCCTTAGCTTAAGCGCGTTTCTAATGAGACGCTATATTAGTGCGATGGTAGCTAGCAAGGTGTAAATTTGGCTGTGCGATCATGGCGCGCATTCTCAAAGGTCAGGGAATTTCTCCATTTTTCGTCAGGGAAAATCATTTCCAAATTTTTGTGGCAACCCTGGAATTGTATATTCAGGGTCATTGACAGGACCGCAAAACGAATTTGATTCACAGGGATTTCTAACTCATTGGAAACGGGTTTATCAAAATTCCACTGTAAAACTTGTATACCTGGACCGTACTACACGGCTACTTAGAAATTTTGCCCTTTCCACTTTTTAATGATGTATCTCCTTATGTTGCAGGTGTTACTATTTACTTGTCCACCCAACTAGACGGACAAAATTTCAACCAAGGTGGACATAAGCTTGGTTTTGCCCTTGATTTTGATTTGTAGAGCTGATGATTCTGAGTTCATCCATCATTTAGAATGATTTCTATGTTAATAATAACTTAGTTTCTTCCTATTTTATTTTAATTTGTGAATCGTTCTCTGTACATTTTGGCATTTTGAAGGTACCTTATAAAGCTACCTTCCTTCTGTGTCCTTATTGATTTTTTCCTTTTATTATTATTATTTTCTTTGCCAGTGGATTGGTGATTGAAGTAGCGATAAGAAAGTTGTGAAAATCGTATTGGTTTCCTTTTGTGTCGTTAAGTTTATTTTAAGATCAGAAGTCATGGCAGTAAGGCTTTCACTATTTTACAAACTGATGCTCATTGAACCGTACCTCGGATTATTTTAATTTATTTTTAACTACTTGATTGTTGTCTTAATTTTATTCCAGTTGTCGTTTTGTTCTTATCACTGTATTTAATCAATGAATTAAGGTCCTTGCTTTGAATTCCACCCTGCAATTTTTGGTTTCATTTTGCTGAAGTAAACAACTTTGTTATAGTTACTTGCAAAAAATGTATATTTCATCAGTTACAAAAATAAAATAAGAAAAATTACCAGCGATTAATTTTTTTTCCTTCGTCACTTATTATCAGAATTAAAATGTGAGGGAGAATTTCCTTGCTAAGCAATTCAATGTTGGGTCGAAGAACAAGGGTAAAGCCCTCAACACAAAAACACTACTTGGTGTTTCAGAAAATTACAGGGACAAGATGGACTGTTTTCTCCAAGTTGGTAGGCCACCTTGAGGTGATGAGATTAAGGTGAAAAATGGTAGGTAGATAAATTATGACCCACTATTTTGTCAGTGCTCCTAAATTAAAATTGATTTTGTGGAAAAGGGGTGGAATTTTCACAAAGCAATTGAATAATTGGATCGAAAATCCAAAACTGAAATTCTAAGAATGTATTCTTTAAAGTCTAAGGGAAAATCACCTAAACTCACACGAGGCTTGATTTTAAGATCATCTCACAAGATTCACAATAAAAGTTCTCTTCAATCAGGAAAAATTGTAGGTCCTAGAAAAAAGTTGTAATTTCTCATCAGTTACTGCGGTCCAACTTAAAAATTTATCTCCTCAGGAAATGTCTTCTGATTAGGATACCAAGGATCAAAGTAATAGATATAAAATATTTAAGTGAAAGATCTACCAGTCAGATAGTAAGAGATAAATCTTGGGAGCAGTTTGCAAAAGACTCGAGACCTCAATTTATCGGATTTCATAGGACTGATGAATCAATGCATTAAATTGCTGAATCCGTTAATTCAGATCACCTTGACAGGGGTGAAAGATCAATCGGTTAAATCACAATCTAATAAATTGAGGTCTTGCTGTATGTAAAGGTGATGCAATGGTGCAAATGAAGAGGAAATATATTCTAAAAGAAACAAAAAATTTATTAGAAAAATGTTTTAACACTAAAATTAAAGGGGGTTCAAAAAAATTTACAGTAAAAAGGAACAGTACAATCATTAAATAATCACGAGGCAAAATCCTGATGAGAGTTCATCAGTGTTCCATTTGTTTGTCCATTGTTTTTGCAATCCATTCTGGCTCTGCACTTGAAATCTTATCGACGATCTGGCTGACTTGATGGCATAAAGACTGAATTTGTTTGTCCCACATTGGGAGAGCCTCTCGGTCTGAAGTCAAAAGAAGTTTCAGGTAAATTTAATTCGGGAGAAGATGAAAACCTTAAGATTAGGCCAGTAGAAAAGGTCTGAACTTTTAAAAAAGAGTCACATATCTTCTCTTCAAAATCTTACAAAATGATTCGCACAATATCATTTTCAGAAATTAACTCTTAAATTGTAAATGAAGAAGAATTTTTGACACAGATAAAATGGAAGTTAGATTGTACAGATGATGTCATTTGTATTTGTACCATTTAACCAATTTTAATTTTAGACGCTTCAACTTAATTAGGAGTTGATTTCTACGATTTCCTGTTGCATGATTCCTTTTTTCTTGCAAAATTTTGAAGACGAAACGTGTTAAGAGTTAAGGCGTGTTTGAATAATACTTTATCTGAAAACTTATTCAATTATAATGTTAAATAGGCGAAAGGATATAAAGTACATATTGTTCAAAAGTATTCTTAAGTTGAATGTGACGCCCCATTCAAATTTCCGTTCAATTTTTCATCAAAATGTTATGTTCTTGTGACATGTCAGTGCTATGCGATCCAACCTTACATTCGGCAAAAGCTGAAGAGGAAATGAATGAAAAGTTGAATGGTGCATATTGGGCTTAGTGACATCAAATTGGCTGAAATTGATGTCAGCTTTTTTAGCTTTTCCTCGAGTTAAAAATATAGCCCTCTAGATTTATTTTTCTCCACTGCTGTGTCAAGAAACTTTTTGTGGCAAAGGGCGGCCTGCTTCAAACTTTACCTAGGGTAAAATTAGAGTTGTTTTTACGGTTAAGGCTGTGTGCCAAACCCTAAAAGAAAAAGAGCTGGTATTTTTTGCAAACTGAATCGTGAACTATAAACCAGTTCTAGAGGATAAACCAAAACCAAAATGAAGGCAGGATCGAAATGTCTTTTCTATCCCAAATTGGCTCTACCCCAATGGCACATATTATAAAATTTACAAAAACAAAAATATCGTTAAAAACTTGTAAAAAAAGTTGTGAATAAGACCAAAAACAAAATGCCTCAGTAGACAGTATTTTGTACAAAAAAAAAAAAATACATAAAATACATGAATTACCTCTCTTTACTTCTTTGATTAAACTTCTTTTTGCGTAAAATTCTTGAACTCTGACTTTTTCCAGGCTTTTTAACATGTGACTTTCAAAGGTAAAAAATAGCAGTTTTACAAGGTATGCTACAAGGTTATTTCGATTCTGTACCGTTGAACCATTTCAATAACAGTTCCAGTCATTACAAACTCACATTCTTACTAAAAATGAGGAGTCAATCTTCTGGTTTCCGATAGTATCTGTAGGAGAATGTTAGAAACACCTAACGCCTGGATTTCAAAAAGATCCACTGTGACTTAGCTGTGTGGATTGGTCTTGTTTATACTGATCAGAAAGTTAGAGAAATGGTGCTGGGTCCACACCATTCCGCGGGGAAATCAGAGCCAAGAAGTTCCAAAACTTATAATTAGAGTCAAAAATAATTTTTTTTTTAAATTCTAATAGGTACCAGTATAAAACTGAGGGGGGAGAGTGTTCAGCTCAGGCAGTTTGCATTGAAATATCAAGTTGGAGTCAAGGCGAGAGATCTCTACCGGTTTGGGTTTTTCTAGACCTCATCAGCAGATCACACTCGTCAGTGAACCCAACTCAACATGCTGCAAAATCCAGGATGGCATTAAAATGCCATCATGAATACGACCCAAAGCATGACACAAAAGTGTGATCCTCGCGACACATACCGTCGCTGCCCAACTCAATATTCTGATGCAAACTGCCTGAGCTGAACACTCTCCGCTCTTCAATTTTATGCTGGTACTCATTAGAGTTTAAAAAAATTTATTTTTGACCCTAATTATAATTTTTGGAGCTACTTGGCCTTGATATCCCCGTGAAGTGGTGTGGACCCAGCACCATTTCTCCACCTTGTTACATACAGTTTTCATGCCACTTCTTTGTGTTTTTTTTTTGTTTTTTTTTCTGATCAGAAAGTTTAAACTCTTTAAACACAATTTTATGAATAGTCCAACTACTTTACTTAAATATAGATTACTAGGGGGCTACGCCCCCTGGCCGCTACGCGGCCCAACCCCCTGAAGGCGCTCCGCGCCTTTACCCTCCTATCAGTGTTAGTTTTATTTTTCCCCTAAACAATTACGATATGAGGTATACTTTAATTTTAAACTTTACATAAAATTACTTTGAAATTAAAAGGACGCGTTTTGGAATGACTGCTTGATGAAATATTGCAGTAAAACAATGAACTATGGTAGTCAGGTAATTGGTAATAATTAAGATATCGGGGGTCGGGGATCGAACCCACACCGAGTTCAAAGTGGACGTAATCGACGTCTTAGACGACACGGCCACCGCTCCACATTATGGCTCCACATGAGAATGTCAGTGCGAATCTTGTGTAGATAAGTGTAGAGCTGATGCGCAGGCTACCCATCTACTGCGCAACCTCCTCGACCACTGCGCATCCTCCCGCGCATAGCGGTAGCAGTACCGGAGCATTCTGTAAACTCACTCACTTTTATAACGTGATTTTAAAAAAACCTGGGTCCTTTATCCAAAATCTGATTACAGCGGGCTCATCTAGGGCCTATTACCTGTCGATTAACCTAAGAATCATGGAAATCGGCCCGGTAGAACGCTCAAACGAACTATGACAAAAAGTATAAATTTACATTGTTTAAATGGGAGAATTCGCAACTTTACCACGTAATATAAAAGAACCTGGGCCATATTTTAAAAATCTGAAAAGAGTTGGCTTATCTAGAGACAAATGCCCGTCGATAGCCGCAAAAATCATGAAAATCGGCCCGGTAGAACGCTGGAACTAAGCGTTACCAGTTTCGCAAAATTAGGAGGTCTCGGAGCTTATAGTATAGATTGCGAGTGAAGACACAAGACAACTTACTTTCAAAGTATACGATTGTATCAATTTGATCGATATATCCATTCATCCTTCCTTCTGTTATCATTTGACTTGCGATCTTTTCTGCTTTCAGTGCTGGGATATCCAATAGAGCTCCAAGACCCTCAAAAGTGATGTTGTTGTAGAGCTTGCTGGCTGAAAGTAGGTTGTGTTCTAAAACTGCCCGATCCAAAATCGATGATCCTAAAAGAATAAAATAGATTGCCACTTGTGAAATGTCGGATAAAATGCAAAAAAGACAAAAATGAGCTGTCCTCAGACATGGCTCCAACCACCTTGAGCTGACGGACAAATCCATGACTTCAATCCCAAGAATGATGGCACAGAGTATTAACAAGGTACACTGTACTACAGGTATGGACAAATGGGGTGCCGAAGTGGCAGCAATGAGAATATAGGCCATCGAGTGACATCGCAAGTTGTACCGTCTTTGCCGCGCAGTTCAAAGTGACCCTCGAAGAGATTCTGGTAGATCTGGTAGCTTCAATAGGCTATCAGATGTATTTAAAAAAATAGATAAAACTCAAGATAATGAAAAACTTAACTAAGAACACGAAAAAATATCAGGAACTTTACAAGACCGATTCTCAGAGCAGAAAGTAAACAAGTTTTCAATTTGGCGTTGCAGTCGTACCATTGGACGCTGTCAAATCTATGCATTTCGACAACTTTCTAAAATTCCATTTGTCCATACCTGTAGTAGAGTGTACCTTGGAGTATTAAGAAATTTGGGGCTGGCTAAATATGGAGATTTTCTCATATGATGTTGCTCGCGATCATCTGAGTAAGATGAGCGTTTAAAATCAAACTTTCTATGAATCAAGATTGAGAAAATCAGGTCTGAAAAGTGCATTTTTTAGCAATTTTACATGCATAAACAGGTAGGAACTTGACTGATCTCAATCAGAGTGAGCTTAACTTTTCTCATCTTGCGCCACGCTGACCAGGAGGCATCAACTCAGTTCAAGACAAAGGATTCTGCTTCTTTGACTCAGCAATGAAGCCACTTCACCATGCAATAAACGTTTTGAATTATCAAAATTTCACTATTTACGACCAATTTTCTCCAGATTACCACATACAAAGTTCGATTTTTTAGTAATATCATAAAACAAAATCTCGAAATTTAGCAGGCGCCAAATTTCTTGGTATTCTGTGCACCAAAGACATTGAATCACATAGACTGTGCGTCCGGCTCGGTATAGTACAGGCAGAGCGAAGCAAGTCTCTCAAAGCCCCATGATGGGCGAGCGGGGAAGGGGAGAGAGCGTGTGTCCCGAGCACTCGAAGAGACTGCAGAGAGGCAATGGAGAATTCATGCCTGCGCTCGGTTTTTCACGAATATCTCGTTTAGAGTCCATTTTCAGACAAAATTCCTGAGAAACAAAGTTTAAGAACACATAATTTTACACTTGAATTGCATTGTATCATTTTTCCGAACTAATTATTAACCGAGGAAAAAAGCCTCACAATCCGACGAAAATTCACTGGAGCTGCTACTGCGCATGCGCAGATGTGTGCAACTGGAACACACGAACTCATCGATGCGGGTTGGTGCCACCACTCATCGCATGCGAATTTTTCAAAGTTGTCTTGCCTTCCGGAACACAGGATGCACGGTCTACGTGATTCAATGTTTTTGCTGTGCACAGTCCATGTCATGTTATAGACATAATATTTAAGTCTAACATTTGATTGAGTACAAAAAGTTTTTCATTTGGAAGCAAACAAGAAAAGATAGCATACCGTCACTGGTCATTGCTTTCTGATGGGGCATTAAGAGCGACTCAAATCCTTGTAGTTCAGAGCGTCTGATGATTCTTTCAAGGTACATCTTCTCTAAAATCTGATAAGCCAGCATTTGCTGACATCGTTCATCTTTGAACAATGTTGCTAGCATTCTACTTCTCTGCTGACCTGAAAGGAATTAGAAATATTAAATTAAAAAGAACTACCAACACTTCATTTTAAAAAGAGGGTTTAGTGTTTTGGGAAACAAAAAGTTACTTTCTTGATCAGCATATTCCTCATACGAGACAGCGTATGTTGAGAGCGCCGGCATTGATAGCTAGTTCTGGAAGCCACTGCCTCAATTTTATGGGTAAAATTAAATGAGATTAAAATAAATTCAATTTAAATGTTGAAAATTCGCCTGCTGGCTTTGATTTTCTCAAAATTGATACATGGAGAGAGGGAACAACTAGATAATGAATTGAGAACATTTGTTTATCAAGAATCTAAACTTTCCATAATAAAAAGCTTTCTTGGCTTTCTTAATAGAGCGACACAAACACACGCGCCCCATACACACCTTACACTTCAAGAGGTTGAACTGCGAAGCTGTCAAGGAGCATACCCTTAGTTCAAAATTATTTTAAGAGCAACTGAGATCGTTTCCAGGAATATCTGCTGACCTCTTTCCCGACAATTTATTTACCTGAGAAAATTTCATGACTGAAAGAGAGCACCACTAGGAGTAGTTTACATCCTTGAATCAGAACAAAGCACTAAAAGGTGACTGGAGAGGAATGAATTGAGTTTCTTTTCACTTTATTGGTACTCATATTGAATTGTAGGCTTAAGGACTTAGAGGCAAAAAACTTGGGGAAAAAAGTGTTTCCTTACTACAAAAAACACTAATGAACTTAAAAGCAAATTAGAGAGTTTAAATAGGGTCAATGAGTTGGTTTTGAATCTCATAGATGTTGCTCTACAGTCACAAGTGTTGACTGAGGTTACTTTTTGCAATGCAATCACTGTAGCCTCATAAGGGCTCATCAATCTTTTATACTTTGGATTCATTCTGAATTTAGCGCAAGCTTACCGGCAGAGGCTAGAACAGTGCAAATCACAGCTTTGTTAAGAGACGTCAAACGTTCTTCTTCATGAATGATTGTCCGGTATGAAAGTTCCAGGTAACGCTGTGCAGCTTCAATAAATTTCCGCCGGTAATCCAAAACTCGAGCATAACAAACTTTGTAGTAGATTTGCAGTTGTTCATTTTTTGTCTCCGTCTGCCAAGAAAAAAAAAGAAAAAATTGGAAATAACATCTTCATCTTATTTTGGTGCATGAATAAAGGAACACTCACATACACTTCAGGATGATGGACGAAAACCATCTGAAGGCGTTGTTTCTAAATTTTATATTCACAAGTAACACAAGTAATTTGAAGAATTTGAATCTCTTTCATACCTTTATGTTTTGAGTTCTCTTGAAAATTTTAATGAAATAATATCAATTCTTTACATCATTGGCACACAGAATACCAAGAAATTAGGTGTGGGCTAAATTTTACAACTATTTGATATGATGTTCCTCACGAAATCACTGCACTTATAAGTGCTTACTTTCTATGTGTCAATGTCAAGAAAAGCAAGGCTGAAAAATTAATTTTATCGCCTTCTTGTGCCTGTTTTCTGATGGAAATGTGGAGCTGTTGCTATGCCTGTAGGGACACTGCTCCACCTGCTCTTATCATTCAGAGTAATTAGATTATTTTTGTCGGTCATATCCTCCTGACCTGCGAGGAGCCAAAAGATCTCCTCCATCATCAATTAAATGTTACATTTCTGCTAAAAATTGCATGTAAAAATGCCGAAAAAATCATTTTTTGGCCCCTTATTATCCATTACCATGATTGGCATAGAGAAAGTTTGATTTTAAAGGCTTATTCATACTTAGGAGGCTGTAATCAACATCAAATCCAGTACACAGTATCAAAATTTTTCTGGAGCCGCATTTTTTTGTATTCCACGTGAAGTTTTGTTGAAATGTTTTTATAGTGCAATGAGTCTTTTGGATCAGTCTCAGGCAGATAATCATTTTGTCAAATCCTTGGGCAAAATGTCAAACATTCTTACTCAGATTGAAATTCTGACTCTACTGCTAAATATTGACAAAAAAAATTATTTATCATCATAGATGGGAATTATTTTAGGAAATTTGCGTCATTGTATGGTTGCTGTAATGACTATTGACTTTCAGCCCAGAAAGGAAAATTCATGGTAAAAGAAACAGCATTTTTTAAAATACCGAGTTATTACAATTTTGATAGTTAAAGGTATAAGAGAATGGAAACTACAAGGTAGTTAGATAACGTCATACATTCGAAAAATGACAAATTCGAGAATTCTTTGTAAATACAAACGGATTCCATAAACTTTCAAAACTTGACCACATATCTGCCTAGGCTTTTGATAAAATGCCAGATTTGATTTAACTATTTGCCTAAAAACAACATCCAAAATGTTACCTACATCCTTCACATACCATTACTTAAATAGGACACTGCGATTTGAGTAAATAATTACCTGAAGAAGAGATGCTCTGTTTATGTAAGCTTCTGCTTGTACAGGATCATAATCTTCCAAGTAAAGACGGGCTATTTTCATGTATGTGTCCAGTTTGTAATCGACTGAGTATTGTCTGAAAAGGAAAGAAAAAAAATCGTATCATCTTAGTTAAAAGATTTAAATTGATGAACATGATTTATGATAGTAATAAAGTTTAACATCAGAAATTTTGACAGAAACTGATCTTTTTATTTAATTTTTAAAGTCTATGAATTTTGCATGCTGTAGACATAGTTATGGTGATCTACTGTGCTTTGGACCCTTGAAAATTAATACTGAAGATTCTCTCCGCATCCTGGGCATTCACTATGATGTAAGGACATAATCAAGCCTAAAATTTCATCAGAAAGTTGTGGCAGACACCCTGTTACAAAGGCTCCATATTCAAAAGTAAAAATAAAATCCTATGTTCCATGCCTTCTATTGAACAGGGATGGATTTACAATTTTACCATCCTGGGCCGGCAACAGTTTGCTGCATTTTTGGATTCAGAGAAAGACCTGTAAAGATTAAAAAACAAAAAACAAAAAAAGAAATCACAGAAATTTTCTCATTGAAAGTTTTATTATTCATTAAAAATGCATCCCCTGTACATAAGCTCACCCTGAGTATGTCAAAGTATTTTGGCAGGAGCTCACTATGCCTACTAAGTATAGAGTATTTTGTTGAAAGACTAGCCACATATTTCAAGGAGGAAAATATGTGAATGATTCAAGGTTACCCCTGATCAAAAGGGCAACCCCAATTATTTTCATCAACAATCTACATGCATAAAAAAGAGCATTTTCTACTGCTTATTACAAGTGACATTGACCTTAGACTTTACATTTTTCTTATTTTAAGTCAAAATTTTAAAAAAAAATACATACTTAGACAATTGTAAAAACTAAAGACCCAATACAAAGAGAATAGTCAAAGAAGGGAAGAAATTGAATTCCCTAGTGATTTTGGATGAATTGTTGCCGCCAGGGATTTCCTGCTCCTCTTAGTTTTCAACTCAGTGCACACCCTGTGGTGCAGTTAATAATATTTAAACTTAACCATCTTACTTCTGTCCAGTTTCAAGCGGGATGCCAACCAACACATTTGCCGCTTCCCGCCAGCATTGCTCTTTCTCGTAAATGGAGGCTAAGTGTTGCCTCACACTGGCTACTTGCTCTTCAAACGAGATGACACGTGGTTGGACCTGGCACGGAAAAGTAATTCATTAGGCGCATTTGTTCAATAAATTTGAAAAAAAAAAGGAGACGGGGACAACAGTCTCATTGGACCGCATTAAGCAGAAAGGAAACAAGCCTTATCAGCTGTTGCCAAATTTAATTTGACAATTTAATAATTTACATGAAAACCATTGTGCGGATTTTTGAGCAAATTTCAGTGAATTTTCTGCATGGAGGCAAATTCCATGAAATTTTCACAAAAAAAACCCGCACCAACGCTCTCTTGTAAAAAAATTAAATTGCTCGGTTAAATTTGGCAATACCTAGCTGATGCGGCTAGAATGCTTTCTGCTAAATGCAGTCCAATTACAGTTAAAAACTAAAATTGGCCAAATTTACAAGTTAACAGACATTTCAGAAATCTACGGTAAAGTCGGAAAAACAAACATTTCAATTGTTGTGTTTTGAAGTTTCTGTTAATAATTCACTTTCTCAAGGCAATATTACCTTGCATCAATCTTGCATGAGATTTATAGGAAATATTTTTGAAAGGAGTGTAATAATAGTGATGATCAGTCGTTTGTCATTTGAATAATTTTTAACAGAAACTGCAATGTCCCAGAGCCAGTTGTGTGTTTCTCCAGTTTCACCATTGAAATGCAAAATACCTTCATAAATTAGAATATGTATCACCATCACCATGTATGTATGTTCACCATCTATGAGGGGAATCCCAGTATTTTACAATGTAAAGCTGACTCTCATAGCATTTCAAGAAACATTTTTTTCTTTTTTTTAAACGTTCCTTTTTTCAGATTATGGGACAAGCCACCCTGAGAAATAACATTGAAATATTTGCTTTCAAACCATTCTGTTACAGCAATCGGAAATTTTGGCTTGACACTGAGGAAAATCCAAGTATTCAATATTCAGTGTATTTATTTACCTACTAGATGGGCAATTGAGTCAACCAACAAACAAAGTGTGTTTCATTTGGCAGGAAAACATACATACAAGTCGCTTTACAGCACTCCCTCGCGCTCTACGACTCCTAACCTCCACTGCTCTCTTTCAAACCACAAATCTTGGGGGATTGAGCACTTCAACATTTCTGCTTCAATCCCGTCCCTCCAACCTTTCATTGGGCGCCCTCTGCGTCTTCTCCCAGGAGGAACCCAGTCAAGGACCTTCTTCGGCAACCTGTCTCCTGCCATTCTCTGGACATGACCATACCAGATGAGTTGTTTTGTCATAATGTCATGCACGATGGTCTGCTTGGCATCCATGATATCCCGTACCGTCTCATTCCTGACGCGATCCTTTCTGGAAATACCAGCGGATCTACGCCAGAAGTCCATCTCTGTTGCCTCTAAAACCTCCCGGGTCCGCTGTTTCATCGGCCATACTTCACACCCGTAGGTTACTATGCTCTTGACAATCGCGTTGTAAATCCTCCTTTTGTTCTCTTTGGAGATCCTTTGGTCCCAAAGGACTCCATTTAACATAGCGATTGCCCTCCTACCCAGCATATTCCTCTTCTTGATGGCCTGGTCCAATCTTCCATCCTGGGTTAAAAACACTCCTAAATATTTGTAAATATCGCAGCTTCCAATTTGCCGCCCATCCTCTAATTCTATACTTTGCTGATTCCCGCCAACGGTCAACTTCTCGGTTTTGCTGACATTCACCTCGAGGCCCCATTTCCGATACTCAGCCACCAACTTTCGAGTCATGTACTCAGCATCATCTTGATCTTGGGCGATAAGTACTTGGTCATCAGCAAAGCATAACGTGTAAAGAGTTTCTTCATTATTTAGAGGGACACCCATTCCGGAACATTTTTTCTTCCATTCACGCAGTACATGTTCTAAGTATATTTTAAACAAGGTGGGGGAGAGGCAACACCCTTGCTTTAGTCCCTTTGTTACATAAAAACCCCCCGACAAGCCCCCTTTACATTTAATTCTTGCGAAAGTCCCTTGATAAAAAAGCTTAATTGCATTAATTAGTCCACGAGTAAAATCAGATTTTTCCAAGGCCTCCCAGAGTTTCACTAAAGGCACGCTATCATAGGCTTTTCGCAAATCCACGAACACCAAATGCAATTCTTGACCAACCGCCATCTTCTTCTCAATAACCTGGGTGATGCAAAATAGATGGTCGACGGTTGATCTGCCAGCCCTGAAACCCGCTTGCTCTTCTGCCTCATGATGAATCCATTCTTCTTCGATTTTAGCTTTCAATATCTTACCATAAATTTTGCTGATCGTCCCGGTCACCGACAATCCACGATAATTATCGAGATCGTCCTTTTTCCCTTTTTTGTGGGTAGCTGTAATCCAACATTCTTTCCACTCCTTCGGGACTTCATCACCCTTCGCACATTTATCCATTAAGTCCCTTAAGCAATGGAACAGCCTGTTGGACCCACATTTAATTAATTCTGAGGGAATATCTCCGGGTCCATAAGCTTTCACATTCTTCAACTCCCTGACGGCTTTAACCACATCAAAGAGCTGGACTGATACAGTGGATGCCTCATCGGTGTTTATCTGCGTGCCTCCCTGAAACTCTGGTCGCCTTTCGGTCAATAATTGTTTAAAATGTTCCTCCAACTGGCGGATCGATATCGGAGATAAAATATCACGCTTCATATCCCTTCGTAGGCCTTTTAATAATTTCCAACTTTCTGCACTCTTTCTGCCCCCGAGGTAGGTGTTAATTTTGGAGCAATTCTGCTCCCAAGCCTCGTTTTTCTTCCTTGTGATTAGACTCCTCACCCGAGCCTGAGCCTGCTTGTAAACAACCTTGTCTTCATCCCTCTTAGAGGACAGAAAAGAATGGTACTTGTTTCGCTTATCTTGGATCTCTCGTTCCACATCCGCGTCCCACCAGTATGGCTTACGCCTCGAGTTATCTTCTTCACAAACTCCTAAGGCCTCACTGGCCGCAGAGTGAATACAATCCTTAATGAATTGATAATGCTCCTCAGTGCTGCTAAAAGACCTCTCCACCAACTTTTCATCCAGCCTTTGCCTGTACAGACGTTTAACGCTATCATGGTGGAGACTATCGATATTATACTTCTTCCGATGAAGGACAACCCTCTCTTGCTGCTGATCTTGTTGTACAGGCTCGACTCGCTGGCCGTCCTTCACCGGGAAAGCTATTCTTGCTTCGAGAAAATAGTGGTCGCTGCCACATGAGAGACCTCTGCACACTCTCACATGCTGAACCTTCATCTTGGATTTTTGCCTCACAATCACGTAGTCAATAATGGACCTCAAACCTCGCGTTGGCTGCACCCAGGTGTATTTGTGAATGTCGCGACGCTGGTAGAATCCGTTTAAAATTTTTAGATCATTTTGATCACAGCTATCGATGATTCGGATACCGCTATCATTCACAACTTCCTCTCCATATGGTCCAACCACCTTGCAACCCCTCCTACTACCTGTTCTTCCATTAAGGTCTCCCATGATTAGCACTTCCCTCGTAGTTCCAATTTGCTCGATTTCATCATTCAGCTGTTCAAAGAATTGGTCTTTTAGCCCCACAGGAGCATCGTCATTCACCCCGTACACTCCAAGTAGTGCAATTCTGTGCCCGTACACCGTGAGATTCATCTTGATTATGCGCGGACTCACTGCTTCCCAGTTGTTAATGTACTTCCGCAAGGTTTTCCGCATGAGAATTGCAACACCCTGCTGAGCCCGTTGTTCCTTATTTACTCCACTGAAAAACATGTCGTAATCTCCTAAACTTTCAGATCCGTGGCCTTTTTTCTTGGTTTCTGTTAGTACTGATACGTCCACCCCGTGATTCTTTATCTCCGACACAACCTCCGTCAATTTCGTCGATATCCCTTGGACATTCCAAGTTCCAAAATTCAGTGTCCTTTTCCTTAGTTTGAGTCGAAGAGTCCGTTTTTTTCCCATGGTTACCGAGGCAGTTTGGTTAGGTTTTTTGACATTGTGTATTTTTTCCGAGGATCGGGGAGTCAGCCCGATGCCCCAACCCCCAACCTGGAGGGCCAGAGTTTGATTTCGGAGTTACCTCTCCTAGACAGGTTGCTTTCACCACAGCTAAGAGCCCTGTCTACCCACCCCCTTTGAGGCAGGGGCTACCAGCTGGGGTCCGCAGGATTGCTAAATCTGTGACAGTACTGTCCCCCATACGGCTGGCAGGAAAAGAAGGTTAAAAAAAAAAAAAAAAAAAAAAAAAAGACCCACTAGGGTTAGTTGGATCAAGAAGTAGGAACAAAAGTTTGTTCCTTCTAGAGTGGGCGATTCTGTCGGGATTGCATTTCCAATTGAGTTCCAAAACAGCATTTTTTAACAATATTCCCGAAAAATGTTGAAACATCTTGGTAACTCAAATTGACAGATGCTACAACTCAGTACTTTACATATCCCCACAAAAAAAGGATCCTGTTTAAAACATACCTTCTCTAGAATATAATGAGCGATGACTTTTGATACTGAATCTGGAATATTTGCTAATTGTCCACTGACTTCTGTCAAAATTTGGCGAGATATCACAAGACTGACACTTTCATTGACAACTGTTGAAAAAATGCAAAAAAAAAAACCATAGAAACTGAAATTTCTTAGAAACTATTCAACTAAAACAGGTAATAAGTGAGAGAAGCTGCTCATTCTTGCATTAAAAAAAGGAGGATGACATTCCTTGCTCTATAAGACTTACAAGGTCCAACTTACAAATGTTGGGTGCAAACACCATAAGTACCAATGAATACTCCTTACACTGGAGAACTTTAGTGATTACAATGAGTAATTGGATTGTATATCGACTGTGTAAGTCGGCAATCACATAACTCGGTTTGCGACGTCGCAGACTTCCTGTCATACTTTATTTTTTAAACGGAAAACTACTCAACAGCAATTCTCTGGAGCTTCCGTGATTTTCTTCTCTGTGCGAGGAAAATTCTGCAAAAACTTCAAGGAATGGTGTCAATTCTTCTCCTTTAATAAAATAACATAAAGGTGGAGATTTTCAGACACCGCAAACGAGTTATGCGATTGCTGACTTACACCGTCGATATATTATTTGGCCTGATTAGAATATAAATTAATACTTTTTATACCTAACAAGTTCTTTACTTTTCATCTTTAAAATGCACCTTGCACTTTTTGTGTTCATTTGGGTTATGGAAGGTATCATTTTCCCTTTAAAGCTATTTTCTCATCTAATCTTGTGTATTGATACCGAAGACAGAACAAGAGTAGCGATTTGAATTGCAGGCTGAGTGGCTTGTCCTCCAAGCCCCTCAGTTAAGATTTTTGAACTTAACTACAGCAGACAGGGTCTAATTTCTTTTCACGCTTTATCTTCAGAACAGAGAACCAAGGAATGCTAATACTTAACATTTTTTATTTGTATTTTTCACAATCTAAAGGAGATTTAGAAAATGTTTTAAGGATGTGTGATGTTGAGTATTCTGTAACTAAGATTAAAAATATGAAAGGAAGTTAGGAACACAACATGAGCAGTGGTAACGGTGATTTCTGGCGATAAATCTACCTGATGAAAAACTTAACAAAAACATGATAAATTAGATACTTACTGGTTTCAATGAAGAATTTGAGTGCTTCCATTATTTCATCTTCGGGTAATTTTACTAAACTTTCCAGGATCAATCGGTATCTGAAAAAATTTTCTGAGGGTCATTCCATTTGAAGAAAAGAAAAAACAATGTTTTTTGAAAACTTCGGTGGGTTTTCTTCTCTGTGCTTAAAGAGAGTACCTACTGTGAAAATTTCAAGCCATTTCTTCATATCAGTCTCCTTTATAAAATATAATAAAGGAGATTTTGAAACGTTTTGCCATTGATATTTGAGAATAAGCATTCCACTTTCAGGCTTTTTGAGTTGTTTGTGGGATTTTAATTTTTTCAGTGGAGAATAGAAGATGATTACTTTGATGTAAAAAAAAAAAGGGATTTGACATGTGTCTCGACTCTTGAGCAACCATCAAGCCTTTTTATTCCAACATTGAAAAATCTGAGATAAGAGCTATTGTAAGTATTGCGTACTTAGAAAATGTATTTCTTTCTCCTTGGAATTAATTAAAACAGCAATATTTCGAATAATGGTTATATTCTCACTGGTTAGTTAACATAATTTGAATTGGCCGACTCATTGCTCTTACAAAATACCTAGTGAATATAGCTGGTCGATCATTGAGATCCCATCAGTGATGTATAAAGCAACATTAATTGGTACATAGTACACCTTGTAAAGCTATAGGAAATTTTGACCTTCCAGAAGCTGAAAGATTTGTTCCTATTCTCTGTCTTGTCTTACTTCAGGATTCTTTTTGCCAAAAATCTTTTGATCACTGGCTGCCTGAAAATTGAGTAACACTTAATGGTGGTTGCATGCTTCTGCAATTATTGTTAAGCAACAATAACATTACAACTGGTAAAAGAGTACCTACCTATTCAGCACAGTTTTGTGTCGCCAATTTTTTCAAGAACTTTCAGCTAATTTTCAATTGAAAAATCCAGAGATGACAAATTAAGAGATGCAGCAGGGCAAAATATGCCTTAAGGTTGAGAAAAAAATGAAGTGACTACTCCAGGGATCAGAAGGGCTCATTCTGCATAGCGCAAAGATTAAGTACCTAACATTTGCCCCTTTTTGGCAGAAATCTAAACTTAGAGGATAAAAAATTAAGAATTCAAAACACACGTCGTCAAAGTTTGCAAACACTGTTGCCAAACTTGGCATTGATTCACTTCAAACGCTTGAAAGTATCATTATTAATGCGAATTGTGACTCAAAATTTAGGCCTGATGTTCTTGAGAGTATAGTGCCTACCTAGAGAATGTTCAGCACCGAAAAATGAAAATCGGTGTTACCTGCTGACCTCAAATTGATTTTATTGCAGCACTGAATAATTCGAGGTTCTACCTATAAGCACAGTTTGCCCTCCTGTATCACATATTGTTCTACTACCTATCTTAAGTTTCTTAACTACAAAATGCTATTTTCTCGATTTCTCAGAGTATACTTAAGTACCTTACCTAATCAACGAAATAAACTTGCTTTTTGTGGCTTTTCTAAAAGTAAGGGGAAAGGGAAAAGTAGTCAGATTCTAGGAATCTGACTAATGCAATGAGCTTCAAAAACATTTTTCAAAAATTCCTTAAAAAACTGATAAAATTTGTTTTGGGAAACCCTTTCTGGCTATTTTTTTAGGTGAAATTTAAGTAACTCTTGATGAAATTTTCCTTAAAAAGTCGTTTAAAAAAATGACTAGCTTCCCTGAAATTTTTCCAACATTTTTCTTAACAGAAGTTTTAGTGTTGAAAAACTATACCTAATTGACATCTAGGTAGGGACTCTTTAACTCTTATTTTAAAAACTTCAATTTTACTGAAGTTTCACATCTTGTGAGTTTTATTGTAAAAAATACCCAACAAGAGTTTCCTACAACGAACATATTCTTGGTTTTCTTAGGAGTTGTCTTTTGAAAATTAAGGAATTTTTGATGGTATTTTATAATAGTAGTGGCTACTATAGGGCTGTGTTATAGAATTGTTAGGGATAACTACCAAACGCAGAATATAGAGTGGATGTCAAAAAATGTGTACTGTAAAATAGCGTTAGATAGGTAACTTAGGTAAGATGATTAACCCCAAACTAATTCCTTAAAATGCTAATGCTACTTTATAAGGGATTTTTGACTCTGAATAAGACTGATCTATTTTGCCACTCACTCAATGTTCTGTATAGACATTGTGCACCAGCACTGTTGAGAGTTTTGTTTTGTCCAGGGTGTCTACGAAAACAGGCTGGCCAAAAATCAGTAGTTTTACAGTGCATTCCGAGCAATTCAGTACCTCTTCAAGGGAAAAATTCGGTACTATTCCAGTACCTCCATTTGATAAAATTCGAAAAATTTCAAAAATTTGAATTTCTCTCTCAAATTGCGACAAAAATGAAAAATTTCAGACCTACAAGCGGATTTTTTGCACTTTTTTCAGTACTTCCGGACCGCCCTTAAAAAATCAGTACTATTTCCGGACTTGTAAACACCCTGCTTGTCCTCAATTTGCAGGGAGGCTCTAGGAGGGCATTAAAAGCTGAGACCCAGCCTCGGTGAGATATCTTTTACACGAAGAAGAAAAAATTCACCTTGGTGTATAGGCTTTCTCTAGAAATGCACTATAAAGATAGAAAATATATATGGCTAGATAAAAAAATTATAAAAGAAAACGAAGAGAAAGAGAGAGAGAAGATGAATTGCAATGGTAGATTTTTCAGGCTAGAAAATTTGAGTGGGTAAATCATTTACGCAGTAATGTTTCAGGGGTATATTTAGAGTTTTGGGCAAATGAAATGACTTGGCTGCATGCATTTACTATTTTGAAATTAACACAGACTGCCATTACGTGGAGAGGCTTTTTCTCAGCAGTAAGTACTTAATAGCTTCATGAGCTTACTGCGGAGTTTTACTGACGTTTGGGCGTTACTAATAATGTTGATAGGAGTGTTGAATTTATTAAAGAATTCTCATCTCCAAAGATGTCTTTGTAGATTTTTTATAGAGGGGAGGGGGAAGGGGCTAATGAGTTGAAATTTTTGTTTGAAATATCACAAAGTTACGAAGACGAACCCTGGCTAAAACACAGCTTGATTCCCTCAGAGTTGCAAAGGGTGGTTAATAGACGATTAATCTAAGGATTATACAGAGAGGATAAATTTTAGAGAAAGTTATAGAGAGGAAAATCATCGTGCTTGGTGAAACATAAAATTGATCTATAATGCTGCACAAATCTACTGCAAAGTAATTTTTTTTCAAAAATATTCTAACAATAAAAAAATGCATTCTGAGTTTAATTCTGAAGTGCAAAAACAGCAAACACAATATAAAATTCTATCTATTCACGCATTAGATTAATATATCTTGAGTATTAAAATATCTTCTACGTTTTCCCACCTACTGTGTGAATCGAAACTTCTGAGTTTTCATTAGTATGCAGATCTTCATATGTTACTTAGCATGGCTCTGAGAATTTGTCATTTCATAATGATACAACTTGAAAATTAAAAATTCAGCATATTTTGACCATTTCTAGCCATAATTAATCAGACGCTTTGCTCAAACAACAGTAGGTAAGGAAAACACAGCAAAAACAGGCAAAAAATCTGTGAGTGAGAAAAGATGTGATTTGCAGAACTTCGAAAGTAATCATGAGTGATAGTTGAGAAAATTTATACTTGAAACTCAATGTCAAGTATGAGAAAGTAGATGAAAGACTTGGAGGAGACTTAAGCTAAATAAGATACAATCATTTCCTCTCTCCCTTTCTAATTCTCTAAAAGGGCTATGCTGGAATCTTTCAGGTAGATTAAGACTAACAAGGAAAAAAAGAAAAGAAAAATTGTTGGAAAATAAGATTTATTCTTTAACATTGATGAGAAACAAAATAGGAAATATATTCTTTTGTTACTCACTTACTAACAATCTCAGAAGCAATATAATCTACCACTGTAAATACATACAAACTTAAGTAACGAAGATACAGTGAAATAACTAGGCAATCTTTTAATCTTTTCCCTGAAATCTAGAGTCTGATTCCTTCATTGACCGCTTAGTGTAAGAGGAGAAAGAGGAAATAACATAATCTTGTTGTACAAATGCAGACGAACACCGCTAGTTCTAATCCTCCATGAAATGGACTCTAGCATTATTTCAATAAATGCAGGGTGATCCTTTAGTCCCTCACCTCCCTAAAGACCCCTGAGGTTCTTGCCCCTTTTCTGGATGGTCTCTTTAAAATTTTGGGGGTTCAAAATTCACAGGGAGGTGCCTGGTGGTACGGGAGTTCTGGATCACCCTGTGTATAAAGCCTCGTTAACCTCCTGTAAAATGAAGCAAAGGAGCCCCTAGACACATTATAGGTAAGTATTTCCTGATAAAAAATAAAAAATTCAGCTTTGGTACACCTGAACATTTTCAGAACAATTTTACAGGAGCTGGATCAGCTATTAAAACCCATTACTGATTTTAATTAAAATATATGGGCTTGAAATCTGCAAAGTTTGGTTGCCAAACTTCAGAATAATATTTTACATGAGGTTTCACTTAGGAATTAAACAGCAAAAAAAGAGTGAGAACTTTGAGAAATATGAAGAACAACTCCTATTTTTAACATTATGAAACTTGTAATCAAATTTTTTTTGTCATTATTAGGCATCACATCATTATCAAGATAATTTACAGGAAAGGACAATTTTTGCCAGGCACTTTACAAAGAATTAGGTTTTGAGGGCCTTAAATTGGTGATCAGTGGCGTAGAGCGTTTCCTTAAAAACCTGGATCCCACCGAATTTTTTGAGGTATGTCATATAGTGAATAGCAAACTATTTTGTCTCCAGGCAGAAACTCAAATTCAGTATCTTCAAACATCAGCCCACACTCAAGATTTTCTTTTATCGTTCCGACTTCATTCTTAAAATGTTTCATTGATAGGAGCATACCGTCTAAAACCGTTTTCCCATCACGGACTACTTTGAATTTCTCAGACTTTTTCAGATTTCCTGTAGTACAGCGGCACCCAGCAACAGAACACTTTTTTCTATTTTCAGTGACAAAAAAGTTCTGTTGCACTACCGCCTCTCCAATGATATTTTCACCTTTTTCAACCGGCAATCTTTTACTGAGTTCCTCTTTCAAATCATCTATAACTTTGTAAATGACATTTATGTTCTTAATGGTGACATTGTTTTTCTCTGCTGCCACCTTTGCATCTTTGAAAGTATCAACATTAAAGGCATAAATAATTGCATCAAAAGCCTGCGCAACTTCAACGTCACTCAAAGATACAGCTCCAACTTCTTCTGACACTACATCTAAACGACATCTTGGATCATAATAAGTTCCAATAACATTGATAATGGCTTCAACAGAACCAGCCACATCACCTTTGACAAGAATATTCAGATGTGGAAATTCTTCCTCCACTTGTTTGGCAGTTCTGACACGCCTGGTTTTGAAAAATCCCATCTTACGCCGCTCTTCAACTTCAGCTTGGTAAATTTTATGATGTTCTTCCCTTTTCGCTTCAATGACTTTAAGGTCTTCTTTGATCTTTTTCTCCTCTTCTCTTTTGTGCCGAAATTCTAGGACTTGGCGAGCTTTCGCCTCCGTCTCTACTTCTAGCACGATGTCTCCAGCTTGGGGTAAATCTCGCCAGCCCATGACTTCTACCGGAAAAGACGGGGGAGCACTTGTAACTGCGGTGCGTGATTCATCAAACATGTTCCGCACTTTAGCCCAAGCTAGTCCTGCGATGAGAATATCACCTTTTTTCAGAGTACCATGCTGAACAAGAACGGTGGCTAACTTACCTCGATGAGGATCAATTTTTGATTCTATGATAACTCCTTCAACAAGACCTTCATAGTCAGCCCTTAGGTCCATAACCTGGGCTTGAACGCTGATTGCTTCCACTAGCTTGTCGAGATTTAACTTCTGTTTTGCGGAGATGGGAACAACTTGAGTATCTCCACCTGCTTCTTCTAGCATTACATGATTATTAATCAACATTTGTTTTGTCTTCTCAATATTTGCACCATGTTTGTCTATTTTGTTTATAGCAATTATCATCGGCACTTGAGCATCATTCGCCATCTTGATTGATTCTAAAGTCTGCTCCATCACACCATCATCCGCTGCAACAACCAGGACTACAATATCTGTACACTGGGCACCACGGTTTCGCATTGCTTTGAAAGCAGCGTGTCCAGGTGTATCTAAGAAAGTAACTTTAGCGCCAGAACTTAGTTTGACTTGAAATGCTCCTATATGTTGAGTAATTCCTCCGAATTCAGAGGCAACCACATTACTATTTCTAAGCGCATCAAGTAAAGATGTTTTCCCATGATCAACATGGCCCATGACTGTAACAACCGGAGGTCGCGGTACCAGTTCTACATGAGGTTTTAAGTGGCGTCTTTGAATGTCAGCTTCAAGGGGTCCATCGAATTGAAAAGTCTGACTTGGATTGGCGATTATCTTCATTTTCATACCTAGACGTTTCAGTGCCCTTTGAATGATTTTGAAATCTGTCAATTGGGAGGATGGACGGAAGTATAAGAATTCTGTTTCATCATATGATAAAGCTTCAAGAACTGAGTCAACACTGCGTTCACACACTTTAGCAAGTTCTTTAACAGTTATTCCTTGCCAAACACCAATGACCGGTGCGTTTAATTTTTTGGGTGTGTAAACTAAGAGGGTTGGGTTCTTCCGTTCCTCTCTTGTCTTTCGTCTCTTGCACAATACTGGAGAGCACCAGAGACTCCGACAAGGTAAGAATTGGTGGACATCATGAGGGCTCACAGAACTTGCTCTCAGTTTGAAGGAAGAACCAATGACTGGTGCATATGAGCATAAAATGTTAAAATATTGTTTAGTGTTGAAGCTGCGCAAAAAAGTGGGTTTCATTTTGCAAGAATGCACCCTAATACTAATTACAAATCATATGAAAACTTTACATTAAGATGTGTGAGTAGGAGTTTTCATGAATACAAACAAATTTCAGCCGAAATGAAAAATGGGTACAATGAAATTCAAAATTGACAGACCCAGTGTTAGTGGCTCATAACTGCTTTGGTCATATGAGCCTAGTCTAGACTGAACAGAATATGTTCTTCTTTGACGAAGATTTTTAGAGATTCAGAATCAACAATTGAAAGTAGATGGGATAATATTATGTTTCACCGAGCACAGAAGGTACAGAACTTACTTGTCAGCTTGATCTTTGTGAGAACCACCCGCTCCAGCTAACGCTGCAAGCTGAGAGCGAACAACATTGACTGCTGAGTGCGATTCCATTTCCTCGGTGCAAATGGTAAGGCTTTTTGGTACTAATTTACAAAATAGACAATATAGACGATCGGCTGGCTTGTGAAAAAGCTGGAATTTTACAGTTTCAAAGTCTTGGAGACAAAATCGGGTAAATGCACGCTGCTGAGCAAAAACAATACATATTACAAAAGCAAAAAACCGGAGTGTAAACAGAGATGTACGTGAAATGTGATTGATGTTGTTGTTGATTCTAGAGTCCCTTTATACTAAGAGTCAAGACAATTTGAATCCATTTCTGATTGGTTCCCGTATTTTAGGCCTTCACAGTGTCACAAACGGGAATAAAGATTACAGTTTCACCGATTGCAAAGATTATAATCTGGAATGGACCGGGGAATTACGGGTTCGGCAAGGAACAAACGGAATGAGGGAAGGAACGAAGAAAGGAATTCGAGAATGGGCCGATCAAAGATTACGAAAAACGTTCGATTTCTGTAATCTTTATTCCCGTTTGTGACATCCATGAGCCGAATTGTCTTGACTCTCAGTATAAAGGGACTCTAGTTGATTCTAGATTCTTCTTCTATCAGTGATACCACTCCAATTTTTTTACACTAAGAACCTGAGGCATATTGTATTTTCACTGGTAACTAAGTTATTCTTATTACTACTTATTTTTATAGCGTATCTAATTAAAGAGAAATTTGTTAAGTATTGCTCTTTCGATATGTTTTCCTTACAATATTTTTCGTGAAGAGACACAAGATAATCTTCTTTGATTCTAGGATTTGGATTTCACGAAAATGAGCGGCGAAATGGCTGCGTACTCAAGGCAGAGTCTCAAGTCAAAGCTAAATAAAAAAGTAAAATTAAAAAAAAAAACTTTTAGGATTATATTAACCTCATCTCAGTCATTATAAAATATTAAATTTTATTTTTAGTGAACATATAATTTTTTTGCCTAAAAATTAAGTTCTATTTGCTTTTCACAAAACCTCTGATGAAAGATAGTATTTTGATGTAAGATTCCGCGGTTGTTATGAAAAATAAATTCGTAGAAATGCATTGTGGGACAGTAATGGTGGGCGCGTGATTTTGAACAAAATCGACAATGCCTGCTCCTAATTTAGGTAATTTATTTACTTTATTCCCAACATTTTTGCTTCAATTTTTGTCGCTCTGTTTGACTTGTGAATTATTTGTTTGTTGGTTTTTGTATTTATTTCAAGCTGTAAGTGACACAGTTCTTTTCCATCAGTCGTGCCCCTCCTTGGACTTCAATCTCTCAAGGCCCCGAAGTGATAGAGAGAATTCGATTTTTTCTCCTCGCGTATTTCATCTCACAGCCTTTAAATACAGCTAAAGCTTTTCTTCATCCTTCTGCTAACAAGATTTGGAACCTTCCAACATCAATTGAGATCTCTTCATGAGAGAGAATTTAATTTGTTTAACTCATTACTCTCCGTAGTTTTCAAATTTCCCTGCTTCGGTGGCATCCATGGCGCGTCATTCGAGCATTTTCGTTGCACGGAAATGGCGCCTTGTTTTCTCTTCAAATTTGAAAGTGAACTCGTGAGTTTATTCGTTTACTGGTGTGTTTGAGTGTGGGCACCATTTAATGAACTTATGTGCCTTTGGCAGCTTTGATTGCCCGTTTATTCGCTCGGTTTCAGCATTTCGTAATAGTTCCTGTCAATGCAGTGACTCGCATATAGGTTATCTAAACTATTTGAAATTATGGACCAATATTGGCCAGTAATCTTCAGGCTATATGTACTTGTGCGCCTTTAATACTTTTTACAAAGCTATTTCGTTATTGTATGCTGAATGTACTTTAATTGAGTTAAAGATTAATTTTGCTTGATACCCATTGGCAGTTAGTACATCAATATGCCAACGTTTTCAGGTATGTGTCAGCTACTTTTCAACTGCGTCAATGGTCAAAAATTCACTTTTATTCTGTCGCAATTGTAACGTTATTTATATACACATGTGAGTGAGAGGTCAAAGTTTCTCATTTCTAGAGTTGAAGGCAGCCTTTTAAGAGGCTACTATATTTAGTCGAAGAACTGTCGGAAGTACACTATCTGACAAGGTATCGTTTACCTTCCGGTACTTAAAAAATTAAAAATCTCTCATGAGTGGCCTATCACCAAAGGCCTGTCATACTCATTGAATTTTGAGATCGCTTATCTGTTTTGATAAGACTAGCAAACTCATTAATATTTTTTACTTTTTCATATCATTTTCAGATTATCTTGTACAACACTGCTTTATTTTTGAGAATCTCTGTTAAGGCGACTTGGCAGTGGGCAAAGAACTAGAACTCTTAAAACTGCATCAATCGGTCACTTAAAAAGTGCAGTTTTTAGATTTTAGATATTATAACAGTTCATGAAGCTCCCCTTGAACCGTCCTCAGATCTAGTGGAAGCAAGCCTCTCTCTTCATTTTTCAGAAATTGAATCTTCAAAGCAGTCCATCGTTGGCCAGAAGTTAATCACTAATTTTTATCCCTTTGTTTACCCCGATTTTCTCTTTCTTTTTTCCCTTTTTTATGTACCTAAAGTCAGATAAAAGTGAATGCTGCAACTTGTTTGATCCCTCAATGTTTCAAGATGCTAATGGCCCTCCAGTTTTTTTTCGCTAGTCCGTATTCTACTGATTGTATTCATCCTAAATTGATCCCCAATACATAAAATTAAAGATAACCCTGTAATCGAAAATGAGATAGTATCCAAAATCAAAGCGGGAAGGTATGAGAAGCAAAATGGTTCCGTCCCGAATGAAAAATTCGCAAAATCAGCAGAGATATGATAGATTTTAAGTCTAACTGGTGACATCATATGCTCCCGATGCGACTGCGGCTCACACACACACAACTTCAAGTCTGGCGCCGCGAAGTTGCCTTGATAGTTACACCTAAGCAAAGAAAAAAGAGTCGGCCAGGAACGAGCGAGATCATGGGAACTAATAACTTGCCGCGAACACATGTCAGCCACTTGACACCGGAGACAGAATGCCGAGTGCAGACTGCAAAACGCGAGACCAAGCTCATGGCGTCATGCGCTCAGCTGTTTTTTTCGCGATAGCGGCTCAACGAATGCAGATATTTGGAAGCAGATTTTGGCATCGTTCATTGCACACATTTCTTCGTCGGTTTCAGCCAAACTTGTCCCTTAAATTGCTGTAACCTTAATGTTTTGGAGTGTTAAATTCTTCTTAAATTAAAATAAATTTTTTTATCTTTAGGTGGAGATGGCAAAGAAGAGGTGGTGGGAGAAGAAGCATTGGAAGAATTCAACCTATCCCAAGGTGAATCCTTTACAGTTAATGATCTTGAATCCCTAGAAACGCTCCAAGCGGAACTGGACCGTCTGAATCAGGGCGATGGAGGCGCTCCGCAGCAAATCGAAATCGTCCAAGTAAAAGGCGAAGTGCATGACGATATTGATCAAGACGTGGAGACGCATGAGGATGTAGAGACCCATGAGGTCGTGGAAACCCATGAAGAGGTGGAGACAACTGAAGAGATAGAAACGTCAGAAGTTATGGAGCACATGGAAGAGATTGAAACCACTGAAGAAATAATAACTACGGAAGAAGTGGAAAATACAGAAACAGAAATAATCACGGAATTTCCCTTGCATGTAAGTACACAACTTTTCAGTGTGGATATCATGTTTACATGTATTGGAATCATGTTTTACAAAATTGAACTTAAATTGCTCTCTAAGAACTACCAAAGTGAGCTTTTAAGAGGCATTCTTGCAACCATTACTCAAATAGGGACGGTAGACTGAGGCCACAGAAACCTCTGGACCATGTGACCAGTCGGAAGTGATTTTGGGCTAAAATTAATAGGCTGCTAAAGCAAGATTTTAAATTGATAAGGTCTCAAAAAAGATTTACTGATGAGAAAGCCGGATTGCGTCAGTCTTAAAATTGCAGCAATTTGCGAACAAAAAATGAAAGAAAAGTTAGGACATCGGAAATTTTAGAAATAAGTGGCTCTTAAAAGGAGGAGCGTAAGAACTTTTTTTATTCTTTCAGTAATCAACCCCTCAGACTCTGTGTACTTAAAAATGAAAGTTTTCATTCCTCTTCCACCATAGTTTGCAAGGAGTAGATGAAATTGATTTGCATGTTACCACCAGACATTTTCTCCGTTCTTGCCTCTATCTCACCAGTTTTCTCCCTTCAACAGGAAGAAGAAGTAGAGAGCAGTGAAAACATCATTGAAGTGATATCAACGGAAGAAGTAGAAGAAGCAGTAGAAACAGTGGAAACAATAGAGACGGTGGAGACAATTGAAGAAACAGAAGAACCTCATAGTGATGGAAAAGCTGCTAAAAGCTCCGACACAATTGTGACAACTCAACCGTTAAATGTCATAAAAAATGCTTTCAATTTTCCTGGTCAGATCATGAAAGTTACCGTTAGTGGAGGACAAATTGTCTCAACAAAGATGATCGGCCAGTTCTCGCCCAAGACGGTGAGCGCAAATTCAACGGCAACAACAACCAAAACCACGCCAGCAACAAGCAACATCATGCATGTGAAACCGGTGAAGAAAGTTGCAGTGCAGCCTAAACCAGTTTCATTTCAGACTGTGCAAAATTTGCGGACTTTTTCGAAACCTGTAGGCATCAAAAGAGCCGCATCATCCAGCATTGACCAGTCAAGAAACGTAAGTTCCTCTTGTTTTTTAAGTACAAGCCCATTAATGTTATCTAGTGAACTGTTTTGTACTCAAACAGGTTTAGTTCTACAACAAATTTCCTATACTGCAACATCTCTGTCATAGTCTCTCTGTTAAATTAACGATTTAAATGGTTGGAATAGGTTTACCATGGGGAATTCCATTTATACCTTTTCCTTCCTCTCAGTTACTAGACCTAAGCTCAGTCAAAATAAATGTAAACAATCGTCACTGAGTCGTTCACTGAGTGCAGACTTCATCCAATTGAATCATGAATTTGAGGTTGGGATTTTTTGCCCTTATTATGGGATTTTTGAATTCCCGAAAAAGAACGCAAAATGTCCCTCTTGATTCCATGAGCCCTATTTTTGTTGAAGATAAAAGGAAAACCAGTTTTTTGCTAAGGTTTTGTCCATTTCCAATGGAAGCTTGAGAAATTCTATCTAGGTATTACCTATTTTCATAAATTTCTATCTTTATTCGACTGACTTTTCACTTTTGAAAGAGTTTTTTTACAACTTGAAAATGATAATAAAGCAAGATTTTATCTTTTTATTCCCAGCACAAAGTTTTAATCAACTCCGACCTGTCACCTCAACCTGTCATAATAGCTTCAGAAGCTCCAGGGAGCAAAGCAGTGGGTGTGTCCACAGCTTCTAACATCAAAATCATCAGCGGAGTCAGTTTGTCGCAAAGTCCAAACAAAACAATAACGTTAGTCCAGGGCTCAGGGAAACTCCAACAGATCGTACCATCATCTCCTCAGAAGGTAAGCTGCTTCCGAGGGACTTTCTATCATTAAGTCAATACTATCAATAAGTATGACAGTCTCACAAAAAGTAAGTTTCCCTTTTTTCCTTGGAACTCAAAACGTTGTAGAAAAAATACCCAATAATTTATTGTTAAGCAGGGTGTCTACTGATACGTAAATATACGTAAAATACGTAATACGTAAATATACGTAATACGTAAATATACGTAATACGTAAATATACGTAATACGTAAATATACGAGACGTTAATAGCCTGAGTCGCTAAATGTCTCTAAATTATAATAACTAACTAACTAACTAAAATATGTAATACGTAAATATACATAAAATACGTAATACGTAAAGCTTTGTTGGCAAAAATTCGGTTACTCTGATACAAAAATTTACCATTAGTTGTTTCTCTAAAACGCATCCAGTAGTGCTGAACATCCAGATATTTTAAAGAGAACAAAAATCCAGTAGGTAACCTAGGGTTGGGAGCAAAGCGTGAGTAGGGAGTTTCTTTTCTACTAAACATCTCTTCAGTGAATTTGTTAGAAGTTTTACAACTTTAATATACAAAGTTTGCTCATAGAATGTTGTGATAGAGATTTGGGTAGAATTAATAATGGAAATTTAATTTTTTTCCTCCATCTTCCAGAGTATTGTCGTCAGCAAGATTGGGGCAACGAGTCCTAAAAAGGTAACTCTCATGAAGTCTCCGTCAAAAATTCTGCCTGCTCCTGGACCACAGACCAAAGGTGGTAAAATTGCAATGCAGAAAATTTTCCTTCGCCAGGTGATTTTCTATCTCTTTTTTTCTATATTAAGTACATGTTTTAACTCTCTGCTTGATCAGCAATTTCTAGGATTGATCGGATCTGAAATAGAGTGCAAAAGATCTTTTGAGAGTATGGATACATATATTGTCTAAAATGATATTTTAAATGTTGAACTTGGTCATGCAAATCAGTAACTTAATTTGTATCTTTTTCCGTTCATGAGATACGGAAGCACAAGGTTTTCAACTCTGACCCTCTTCACCCCCCCCCCCCCCCAAGCACTGTTAATGTGGGGACTTAAGTACGATTCATCCAATGTCTGCTAACATATCTTGACCTTTTTGTCCTTACCACACCAGGGAAGTGTGAAAAATTTGCAAACTTTGGCAACTAATCAATAAATTTCTTTTAATAAGTAGAATTAAATTTCTTTTATCAAGATCAGTATAATTTCAGTTGTTGTGTATCAACTGCAAACGTTTGTTGCTAGGTGTCTAGCTTATGAGTCTGGGACATGACAGGACACTTGTCTGTTAAATAGCTGAAAGCAGTTTTGCAGGAAACATTCAACTCCCAACAATAAGCGTTAAATCGCTAGGCTCACAATAAGTTCTTCTACTCCTTTTCAGGGTAACTCCCTGAAGCCGGCTACTTTTCTGGGACCAGGGCAGCAGGTTATACGTTTGCAAAACCCTCAAAACATTGTGCCGTCTGCTGGAGTGTCAAATTTGGGAACCCTTCATCAAATAAGACTTCCGGGCAGTAATCAGGTATGAAATTAACGACTTTTAATCGCTGCAGTGATCCTATATCAATAAATTAACCAGTCTATTTATGATTATTTTCTTGTGTTCTAAGTCTAATTTGGACTGAGTCAAGCAGAAAGGAATCAACCCACATTTTGGAAAAAATTGTGTTATGAGTGGTTTTGAACTCAACGACTGCTCTACTATCTATCGCCAATATTCAAAGTTTTTGTTGGAGCAAATTTTGCAGAAATTGAATTTGAAGTTTATCTTTTACATTGAGTCTCATGCAGGAGCCAAACTTTAAACCTCTTCTTCTCGGTTCGATCTCGATGTGGCTTGGTTCCTTTCTGTTTAACTCCGTCCATTGTATGATCCAATTTGGCTTAATTTAGTATTTTCAGACACCATCAATCTCATGATACTCAAGGAAATAGAATGCAGTCAAAACTTTAGTTTCATTTTACAGTTATTATCATCACAAGCGCTTAAAGATCTCTGAAAACCACGGAAAATTGAGGGTGCGGCAACTATCTTGAGCATGGTTTCACACACATTTCTTTCCTGTTCTGATGCAAGATACCTCTAATCTTGTCAAAAGAAAAAAATCAGCACATCAGAAAATTCTTACATTGGAAAGTTTACCGATATTAGTTCAGTGCTTGCTGTACCTAATGGGTCAGTTGTTCTGGTCACAGAATTGTGTTTTGATGCTTGATTCTTGAAGATAACTGAAAATAATAAGTTTCGTCCAAACAGTACCTAACTTTCTACGTTCATTGTTAACAGAGATATTGCACTTTGAAGAATTTGGTTTATGACGTCATCCGCCGCAGAAGTGACACCCTTGGTTTCTTCCACCTTGCTTTTATCAATCAGTGACACATACATTTTTACTGGTTATTCAAGGAGAAACTCAAATGAAAGCAAGGTGGAAGAAACCAAGGGTGTCACTACTGCGGTGGATGATGTCATAAACCAAATTTTTCCAAGCGCAATGTCTATTACTGAATATAAAACATAGGAAGTTGCTGTTTAGAAGAATCTTATTATTTTCAAATAATCCACAAGGAGCAAGCATCTAAACACGATTCTGTGACCAGTGCAACCAACCCATTCGAGCAGACGCTGGTTTATTGTGAGTGAGAGGTTTGAATACCTACATCAAAATCGTTATTCCTCATATATCACAATGAATTGAATTTGGGAAACTTCAGTGCAGTCATTGTATTATGTGTAAAATTTTGATAAGGAACCTTGTATTACTCTGGATCTATTACTGTAAGGAACCATGGATATACTCAGTATTTGAGCGTTCACTGTTTAAGAAATTTTTTCTCCATGCCTTTAGTAAGAACATGATGGTACTTAATTTTTTTTGCTGTCTACTGGTTCCTCGGGCCTTTCAATTTCAAGGAAGTCAACTGGCCCCAACCGATGGTAATAGAAGTTATGATAGATCAAAGTAATCAAGGAAAATAAATATTTCGTATTTCGGCCCTTTCAAGAATAATCAGTGAAGACCCTGATGTTCTTAACCGACCATAAACATCAAGTTATACTGTTTTCATCCATCGCATATTTTAACGCAATCTCTCTTACGGGTAGGTGCAATTGGTAAGAGTTGTTGGAGCAGGTGGCAGCACAGCATCCGTCACACCTACAAACAGCCAAGCAACTGTTGTCTCCGTGACCACAGCGTTGCCAACAGCTTCTTCTTCGGAAGTCAAAACGTTTCCAGTCACAATTTTACCTGCCCCTACCACCGCAGTATCAGCATCTGGTAGCGGCTCCTCATCAAGCATACTGACATTGAACTCCCTCTCTTCAAATAATGGTATGCTTCTTTGCTTCTTTTTTTTCACATTTATGTTTGGAATGTAGATTCTCTTCTTTACTGCTAACATGCCGAACCAGGACATGTTTCCTTGAAATCAACGTTCCATCCAGAGACAAGAGACCCTCCACTAGTATCTTGGCAATGGTGGAAGCTTTTACATTCAGGACTTCAATATTCAACTGTTTACCCTCTTCAAAAATGTGTCAGCAGTTGCGTTTCACAAAAAAACCAAAGTTCGGGAAACTTGTTTAGCTCATAACTTCACCTGAAACTCATCATCCACCAAGTACGTAAGTCAACAGCTGAAAAAAAAGAGTGATGACTGTTGCTCCCATGTAATTTTCCCTCAGCAAGTGTTGAATCCCTGAAAGTAAAAGCTTCCACCTGTGGCCAAGAGGCCAGTGGAGGGTCTCTCGTCTCTGGTTCCACCATAAAGGGTTGTGTGATGACTTCTTGCGCAATATCCAGTTCATACAAGAGTCCTCAAATTGCAAATAAAAAAAGTAGAAGTGACCGCAAAATTCAGCTGTATACAGCAGCTCCTCCGAGGGTGTCAGCCTCCCCCTGTTAGTTCAGTGATCCCAAAATTTCTGCCAACATCGTGTTTCATATTAGAAGGCTCTTGCTATCTCTGCCTGCTGGAATTTTATAGTTTTAGTTTTCACAAATAAGAATTGTCTTTTAATGTTGAATTAAGGAGCAGTGTATGAAATGGTAATAGCTATTGCCGTTGTATTATAGTGCAGCCAGTGGCATTCACTGTGAAAAGTTATAAACGCTCTTTGCGCCACAACATGAAATGATAATAATAACCTTCATTTTTTTGGGCATCTGAAACTGTCAAGAAAACTGTTTTGTCTCCTTATCAGATTTGAACCCCTGATATCTCCGCATCAGTTTCTAAGTGTTTTACATTCATCAGTATTGATTTTGTTTTGTTTTGTGAATGTGGTTACACAGGTACAAGCACTTCGGGAAGTTCGGGTAAACCTCTTCGCCCAAAAATTGTATCCATTGCTCCAGCAAAAGCAACCAGCTCAGGCAATGTGTTGTACACCATGCCCAGTCAGTCAGGGAACGTGACGCAAGTTTCCTCAGGCAAAACAGTCAACGTGGTCATGTTACCTACTCAGTACATTCAACAGGTATTTCATAGTGGATTATTTCTAAGTATATTCATTTTGCTGTACAAGGGGAAAGTATGGATCTTGAAAGGTCAGTAGGGAAACACTGAAAACTGGCAGTTTTTTCTGTCAAATTCAACATTTTTGTGATGAACTGAAGGTACTCTCTGAGGTATGAAATTTCTCTACATGATTACTTTTATCATGTTCCTGCAAAGTCTCTCATAGGTTCCACATGTTTCAGTTCATTCTTCTAACAATCCTATTTTCCACTCCTCATAACCGGTTATCTTCAATTTGGGTGAAGCTCTACCCCGCTTGAAGTTAAAACTGTGTTTAATGCTTGAAAAAAGTGAACTTGTGTGTTCAGTCATAGACTAAAAACTCTAATGTCATAAACTTTAATGGCAAACAGCCAATGTCCAAGTTTTCACACCTTTTCTCGTAACACGTAGCAATCTTATTAAGATTTTTCCTCACATCTTTTTAATCTGTGTCATGTGTCATTAGGTTCAGCAAGAAAATAAAGGGGCGCTGAATTCAATACCTATTGCAGCAAAATTTGATACAGCTAATGTAGCCAAAGAATATGAGAAAGAAATAAAAATTGATATTAAGACTGACTTGGAAGAAAAGCCGGAACGGAAGCCAAAAACAAGCACTATTACCACAAGTCATGCTAATGGTATTCGACCACGAAAGCCCTGTAACTGCACCCGATCTCAGTGTTTGAAATTGTAAGTATCCAAGTTCAGCTTAGCTAATGGCAATAGCTTATAACTCATTTTCTCCAAACCAATATCTGTATGCACTTATATAATGGAATTGTCTGATTTCAAATTTTATCATAAATGCTTGGAGTACAAATTATCATATTTCTAAAACCTTTTAAATTCATTAGACGGCATTTCCTTGAAGGGAGACAAACTGCCTAGAAAAGTTCCCAGTTCCTTTTTAGAAGCATGTAGGTGAACATTTCATTCAAGTTCAGAGGATGAAACTGATTGGGGGTGCCTAAAATTTTGCAGGTGTTTCAATTTTTGACTCCAGCATTTATATGGTTTACTCATTTTGAAATGCTTACGTATCCGTATAAAGTACAAAAAGAGCACATTTTTTAGTGGAAACAGCCAGCCTTCTTCGAAAATTTAAAATTTATTGAAAGATTACCATAGGAAACGTGCAAGTATTAATATGGCTTTGTATGGGTTGGCAAAAGTGTTCGGAATACATCTGGTGTCGTTAAAATATTTTGTGTTTGTCACCGTGAAATTATTTCCTTGTTGATGTATTTATCATGTTCTGTCCAATGAATTTTAGTATTGATAAGGGTGGAAAAATTTCTGAGTTGTCTCTTTCTCCTAAGATCATCTTCCATTATCACAAAATAGACAAGTGCCATTAAACGATTAAAATTGTGAAATATTGGCAAAACAGAGTCATGATACTCATACCCTCTTGAACGCAATAGGACAAATGAAATTTTTTTACTCATGTAAAGCGAATGATTTCCTTACAAGAACTTTTTCAATTTTCGCAGAATATGTCTTTCACCCTATCTCAAGTTTTATTCTTTGCTATCCACATTTCTTTCTTTTTTTCCTGTTATATTTCTTTGAATGCGAGTATCTTATCATCTGATTTCAATGTTTTTTTTCTTCTTTTTGAATCATGAATCATGTTCCAATTTGCCCCTCCTCCTCCTCCTTATGCTGACCATGTAAGTCAAATTCCATATCCTCTTTCTATTTCTACCATTAATTTCTCTTTGTGAGTTTCCGCTGGAAAAGGAACCTGAGTGCTTGAAAACGAGTTTATCATGACAGTTGTTTGCCCCAAGTTCGGATGTAAAATATGCCATAGGAAAAGTTTTAAGGAGTTTTAAAAAAGGATGTAGAAAGTTTCTAGCCTGCCCCTTTTTCCCAGGGGCCTACCCGTTTTAAAACCTCATTTCCCCCAAATTTTTCAAGGCTATGACCTTATCTCTGTCCTTTGCTCATGAATTCCTGGGATTTCGCTAAAAGTATGCAAATTTACTGCAATTTTTATAAAGCTAGCAATTTTAATGCTGTTGCGAGCTGACTAGGGTGTCCCTCAAGAATAGGGGCAAATTTTAAAGATGAAGTACATTTTCAAGCTGGTCTTCCCAATTTTCATAGCCCTCCAAATTTTTCACGCAAGCGGCCTTGAGATCATGATCAAGTTTGTGCTTCCCTGGTTTAGTTTATTTTTGTACCATTAGAATGTGTAAAGTTACATCGTATTCCGAGATGAGTCCTGATTATGACAGTTTAAAACTTCGAGCTCATTCTTTTTTCAAGGAATTACATTTTTTCTCAAACAATAAACTTACAATAATGATAACTCAAGTTTGGTGTTACATTTTAGACATCTTTGGTGCCCAACATCTTAGTATTACAGTTCTTCAAGCAGCAGGACCATTGTCCTAGTTTTTTGGCACTTTAGTTCCTTTTTAAGTGGAAGGTCATGTACACCTTATCCTCTATATCCAATGTATAATGTTCTCAATATTCCTCACCATTGTCTCTTTTGCCTTACCTTATGCTTTTTCCCAATCAAACAGACATTTTTTAAGTTTCGCTCAGTGTTTTATGTATCATCAGTCCTGTCCAAGTATGTTTAATTATTTTTACTTCGGTCTCTGAATCATTGAGGCACATAACTCATAAATGTCTCCTTAAAGAAAAAAAAGGTAACCATGACCAAAGTGCGTAACCACGTATCTCTATTGCGGTGTTTCCAAATGTCTGCTCCTATTTTATTTTTTTGAGGCGAAACAACCCAACATGTAACTTGAAATACAGAATATATTCTGCAAACATAGAAATAAAATCAAGGAAGTTCTAAAAAAATTACATTAACTAGTTTTCCACAGAAAAAATAAAGTATGACAAGATGTCTGCAACGTCGCAAATGAAGGGTAGTTTGTTTCACACTGTAGCCATCGGTAAGCCTTCAATTATATTACAATTTATACTATGTAACTAATGAAGGCAAGATGGAAGTAATTGAATCTTTGAATTCACTTAATTTATTGCCACTTAGTTAGAATTGTTTAATTTTTTTTTTACTTTTCTGATCAGTGACAATACCATAAGTTATCAAGAGTTTTAACAATTTTTTTTTAAATCATTAAACAATTTAAAAAAACATGCTTTCCCGCCTATTTTGTAACACTAACAACGAATTACTTTAGAGTAACCTATAAAAAGTCCTTTTAATTAAAAATGCTATGTTAAAATATTACCACTATTTTATTTTGATATGGCTTTTATATAATGTCAATTTTTTTTGAATTCCCTAGGTATTGTGACTGTTTTGCCAGTGGAGAGTTTTGCTATCAATGTAATTGTAATAGTTGTTTCAACAATTTGGAGCACGAAGAAGATCGTCAGTTGGCAATCAAATCTTGTCTTGAACGTAATCCAAATGCTTTCCGGCCAAAAATCGGAAGAACCTACGCTACGGACACGGAAAGGAGACATACGAAAGGCTGCAACTGCAAACGCTCAGGCTGCTTGAAAAACTACTGTGAATGCTACGAAGTGAGTTATTTTTTCTTTCTTTTACTCATGAACTCTAAAAAATTTGCAACCTCTTAATATTGAAACAGTAAAAAGGGTAAATGAGTTTCTCCATCATTACACTTAAAAAATATTCATTATTTCTCATGTTTTTTTTACCGAAAACTAACAGAATTATTTCCTTTAAAATTTCCTCGAATATTTGTCAATGAGTGAAAAGAATTTACAGAAATTATAAGAAAAACGGTAGGTTAGTTTTAATTCAAACAAATATTACCTGATCAAAGATCTGCGAAATTGCAATAAGAGGCACCCAGTTTTGTAAGTAATGATTGATACATTTTTAGTTCTCAAACGTTACTGTCCATTGAATTTTTTTTTTCTTTTATTAACGCAAGTGAATTGAATGGACTGAGGAATCACTCCTGCCAACATTGCAGCCACCTTTTTCAACTCAGTCTAGTAATTAATATATTAAGTTCATTTAAATTTTGTCCTATCGGTAATGGCTGCACAATCGGCTGAAACATTTCCGGTTTTTTTTTATTGTTTTTAGTCTTCTTTCTCGCATTCAGCATCGTTTTTCATTTTATATCATAGTAAATAGCTGAATAGTTACAAATGCTGCTAAATTATAAATCAACAGTGGGCTTGTCTTTAAATTGTATACCACCTTGTCTCATAATTATTTGTCTATTCTTTTTCTAGGCCAAAATCCCTTGCTCTCACAACTGTAAATGTGTCGGATGTCGCAATGTAGAAGATGGAATGATTCTCCGTAGACATAGAGATGAACTACGGGAAGAAATAGCTGCTCAGTCTCTGACAGCTCTAGCAACAATAGCAGATGATCTCTCGTCGGGGGTTTACCAGCGTGGTGACAATTGCTCCAAGTAAGTAAACTGAAATCAACTTGTTTGTCGTGAAAGAAGAGAGTTATGAGATGGATCTGGCCTGGTCCACAATGTTAATTAATATCCATGCCCAGGGGCCCTGAAAACAATCCCTCTGTCCTGATTTGTGTTCATGGTGTCCAGGACCGGGAAAAACCGGGATTCATCAGGGAATGTAAAATTTCAGGGAATAAACAGGGAATCTGTTCCAGAAATCTGAAATATTTTTCTCTATTGCCTAGAGCCACTTCTTTTTCAAATTTTGCAGAAGTATGTATTGTTAGTGAGGTTTATGTTATCATGCCTGAACCATGGTAATTGACCTCTTGAATGACATCTTTGAAGCTTCGAATCATAATGATAGAAAAGCTTTCATTGACCAGCTGATAAAAATATCAGGAACGTTTTCTGAATTAAAAATTTTAATGTGTGCAGATAAATCGGATGAAAGATTTAAAAACATTCGATATTCATTTCTGGACTTCCTCAGATTTATCTGATTTTTCCCAAGAAAATCCCGAGGGAAGTGGGAGTAAATTTCGATTTTGCATCAGGGAATGAGCCCCTGAAAATCAGGAAATGAGTATGGTCAAGAATTCAAAACACCATGTTTTTGTCATAAACTTGGGAATTGGGCCTTTTTTTTGTTAGATTCATCTTCTTGAACTGTTGATTGGCTCTAAGGTGAGAGTCTTCTCTTCTTAGAATGTCTGGAATACCAGCTGCTGACTCCAGAATTAAAAAGGCTACATTAGGGCTGTGCAAAACAGGTGCTTTTCAGTGCGAGTCAAGTTCGAGTTTCTTTCACTTAATCAAGTCAAGTTCGAGCTTTTTTGAGCTTTAAAAATGACTCCTGAGTTGAGTTGAGTCAAGTTAAGTTAGATTAATTTCAAGTCTCAAAATTACAATCAACACAAATCATTTTTCTCTATTTTCCGTTCAAATCACGTCCGTATTTTAATTATTTCCTTTTGCTTATGTTTCCTGCACCAATGGAACATGACATCACCATTAAAAAAAAATAAAAAATTTTTGCATTAAAAGTTGATGGTATCCTATTAAAATGAATAGCTTCTTAAAATCCATTGCCCTGTTATCTTGGGCCCTGTCTCACAAAATCTGGCTTGCCTCTAGGATGACTCCTAATATTTTACCCTGAAATTGGGAAAATGATTCCTAAATCTCCTTGTGCAGTTTGAACTGATTTACATGTCTCAAATTAGCACTGCTTTTGAAGGAAGGGTGCAGAAAGCTCAAAACTGCAATGAAATTAATGCGATTTAGTCAGTTCCATATAAATATTTTCAATTTCTGAAATTTTTCCAAGTGATTATGTTTTTTCCTTTCCACCGAAAAATTCGGAGCGCACTTCATATTTTCATGTGTTTCACTTAATCGAAATTGCTCACAATGCCTGCCGATAGATCTCAGCGGTTGTTAAATCATCAAATTTTCTGATGATTTTTTCTGCGTTACCTTGCATAATTTCCTTAAATTCTGAAATGAATTTTGATCAAGCATTTTTGTATACATAGTTTGGCAATTTCAATTCTAATTCTTGTTTCTTGTTGACAGGATTACCTCAAACATGTTCTCAACGGATGTCTTGGAAGCAACCGTACAGTGTCTTTTAGCGCAAGCATTCGAGGCTCAAGAGCAGGGCCTGGACAAAGTCAAAAGTCAACAACTATTACTAGAAGAATACGGTAGATGCTTGAAAAGCATCATAGAATACTCCTCGTCAGACCAAGATTTGACGTAACGCTAAGCTGAGTCTCAAAACCTGTAAATAGCTGTATTATTTTTTATCATAATCGGTCCAATTTCTCCATTCAGATAAAATTTTTAAAGCACTACTGAACTCCACAGGGGTACTTTTCTCAAAATCAAAAAATGAGGGCTTGTAAAATTTACCGCAGGATTCGGTGTTCTCGATTGAGACTAAAGTTCGCTCCTTGAGAATATATCTGTGCTTTTGAAGTTTGATCTGGTTCTTTTTTGAAATTTTTTGGATCCATATAAGCTTTTCAAAGGAATCTTTGCGTTTAGAAATCAACGCATTCTGCTTTCTAATTTTATATTTTGACACAGTTTGCTTCTTTTATTGGTGATCATAATTAACGACTACTGAAGTAATTCCTTTTTTCATTATCATTGAGTACAAATATAGAAGTATAATTTAACGTTTCATCTTGATCATGAATTGATTCTTACACAAGTTAAATGGTTTATTGCCTGCAGCGATCTCTTTTGTATTTAATGCTTACAGTGCTGTTAACAGTGTAGAACACACTCAAATTTCGAGTTTTAACTGATTTGCCCATTTTCATCTTGGAATCAATCAATAGAATACTTTGTAGCATAACCAATTAATCTTGAGTGGCTTATTGGTTATATTACATATTTATCTGAATTTGTAACCTTCCAAATTATTTTTTTAATTAAAAATTAATATCTTCCTTTCCTTAAAATTTTCAAAGGATATTTTTCTCGCATGAAAAAGATTCCATAGAAGTATCGAGAAATAAAAATAACTAATTTTCCTTCAAGAAAACGATGTAGGAACAGTAATTTTGAGGTTCAAATATGAGACCTTATTCATCTTTACGGTCATTTTTGAGTGTTCTTGGAAAAGTAAACTCATCGAATTTCTAACTTTATACTTTATTTGTAAGGACTCTCAAATCGTTTTCCTGTAATTACTTGATACTGTATGAAACTTTGTCAGTCTCCTCTGAACAATACCAATCCATACAGGTCAGTCATTCCTAAAGAAGAGTTTTGGAACTCCACTGCGCAGTGACGTAGGGTTGGCTGTTTCCGCAGGAGAAAATGAATGTAATGTATTTCTAATTGAAACAGTCAATTTGACGTCACATTGGCTGTGGGGGAGTGAAGGTTGGGCATGGCCGGGCGGGGAGTGGATTTCAAAAATATCTCCTATTACAGACCTGTGTAGATTGGTCTTGCTGCTGAACTTCACCAGCCGTATATTTTTCAAGGGCAGTTGAAGTTTTGACACATTCCTCCAGTTAAAATGTTCTGGACAGGATTGCCACAGTAAGGAAAAACTTGTAAATGTCAGGGAATTTTTAAAAATTATAGAAAACCCGGAAATGTCAGGGAATTTTTAAGAATTATAGAAAACCCGGAAATGTCAGGGAATTTTTGAAAATTATGGAAAATCCAGAAATGTCAGGAAAAGTGGCAAAAACGTCAGGGAAAAATCGTTGAGTCACCTTTATTTGCTCTCTAGAATGGGTTTGATGTTTCGAACAACAAATTTTGCCTGAAACCTATCTTTAATTATGTCTTTTTAACCATCTGGCATACCTTCGATTAGCCAGAAATTTCGCCAAAATATGTCAGGGAAATCAAGAAATTTCATTTCGTAAATGCTGTGGCAATCCTGTCTAGAGCCCAGGTTTGTTTGAACTTAAGAGATGAATAAATTTTTGGATCTTGAGTGCTGCAATAGGAGACTTCACGACGTTATTCTCTAGTTAAAGTATTTTAGCATACTTGATCAGGAAAGAAATTTTGATGAAGGGAAGGAAAGTTAAGACGAACTCCAAGAATTTTTTTTTTACCGAACTTACTAACCTGGAAACATGGAGCCATTGCATGTTTTTCAGGGGGTAATTTTAAAACAAAAAATATAATTTCATTTCAGAAATTTATGAACATACAGAAGGGGCCTGATTGAATTTAGACCCTTACTGCTGCTCGACCACAGACTTGAACCAATCTATTGACGACAATGGAGTAAGACTGCTCTTCAAGATAGTCCCAGAGTCTAACTCCATCAAGGTCAATAGAGCGAAGAAGTCTGTAGTTGAGCATGCAAATGCTGAGAGCCAGTTGGGCTTTCAAAAAGTAAAGAGTGAAAAATCTTTGATTGATTCTTCAATGTTGAATATGACGGCAATTTCAATTTCTCATGCTAAACAGCACAAAGAATTTTAAATGTGATTGTGTAGTCAGTATTTTTCTCGCTCCTTGAGAATTTCTATACCTGAGGGAGGAACAAATTGATTTACTAAAATGATCAATAGTTATTAATGAAAGCATCAATGTTCTTCAAAAACAATATTTTACAACTAGATTTGCGTTGTTCTTCAAATTTTATCGGTGGAATATTGGTCTCGCCCTCTATGTCTAATGCCACTAGCATTTTAACATATTGCTGCCCGAAAAACAACCAAAACACCAAATTTGAGTGGTGCATTTTCCCCGCTTGGGCTAAATGATTCCAATGACTGCTGGCCTCACAGGAGTGTTCAAACAACCAACCTCCAATTCAAATGACTGACATGCTGCTTGTGTAACCATTCAATATATCCGTACCGCACGGACTTTCCCTGTACCTGTGTGGACAGAGAACGTATCGAAACTATATAGGAAAGTGCTTCCCTATCTTAAAAAATCCGTAAGCGTCAAGTCACAAAATTAAGGAGGAGCCAGTAGCAGCAGAGAGAGCGGGAGAGTAGATTGGTCAACTGGCATGGCAGGCAACAAATTATAGGATGTTGGAAAAGTCTGCCATGAGTTATTGAAGTAAAGATACATCCTGTATTTACCATGTTTTCCCTGTTGATATCATCCCCTCTTGTTCTGAATTTAAGATTCATATTGCATTCGTGGGAGCCACATGAGTAAAATTTTTCTGATGAGTAAGCGAACACAAACTAACTTGATCAACATAACTATCGCATGAAATTTTGATCTAAATTGATTTACAGATTATTTTAAGATTGTGCCTTTTCAACCTGATTGTCAAATATTATTAATGTCAACCACTGAATTATCATCAGTGCTGTATTATTTCTGTATATTAAAAAAATTGCTGATCCCAATGCAACTTCCGTTCAAGAGAAATTTGCTGAATGTGTTGTTTTTAAACTGTTAAGTTTGTCAAGGAATAGTCAATAAACTAGAATTTTATCAAACACCGCCGTTTCTTTGATTTCTTTACTTAAACAGAACCTTATCAGGAGTTTTGCCAAACATAAAGCTAGGTCTAATCAGTAAGTAAAAGATGCTTGAATAATGACAGCAAATAGATTATTATTGTTTAGGGGCAACCAATTCAGAAAAATAATATGTTTTTTCTGGGTGTATTCGTTCAAACTAAATAATATTACGTACCCAAAAAATGTCATAATGCCTTGCTGAAGACCTCTACACCTCCTTCAATGCTAGATAAAAGCTAAGCTACTCCCCCCCCCCCCCCCCCCCNCATAATTTTCAATATAAATTTTTAAACACCGTTTTAGTTGAAGAAGCTGCCAACCATGAGTGTTTTTTTGCTATTGTCTGACAGATAGAACTAATAAACTGCAGATCATGGTAGTCTGAATAAATACCTCGAGATCAACTGAGTTATTGCTACCATTGCACATACAAGCAGTGAATTCTGCCCTATGTGCCACTGTTAACTTCTTGCCATTCTACTAAAATTAATGAACAAAAGCCATTTGATGCTAAGATGAAAATGGTCATCTTTAAGATAACTCTTTTGAGTTCTTCAACTTCAGCACTTTTTTCCATTCAACAGAAGAAAACACTGTAATTTTTTCTCATTAGTGATTGAAATTTTAAGCTGCACCTTGGTTGAATTCTTGGACTCCTGTAGGTCAATAGACAGTCAAAAAGGATTAGCGATGACCAGGATTGGGATACATTTTTCCTTTCCATCTCCTTTAAATCACTGCTTTGCAGTTCAAATAAGATGTTTTCAAATGGGTCATAAATATTAAAATTACCGTAAATGTAATCCCTGTCATGCCCATGATACCAGCAATTGTTACTTGGAGATTTAAGCGAGATTTGTATGTAAGTCATAAGTACCTACCCTGTTTTATTATTGATTGTATGTAATGTTACTTTAATTTGAAAGTGTGTAGAATCAACATTACCTTGCTTTATTTGAAGCTTTGTATATAAAATATTTCTCATATTTTTCCTCTCAGATGTGTTAAAAGTTGAAATTTGTAATGAATTACACTTATCTTTGTTTAGATGCTGGATTTTTTAATGCCCCTTATCATGTACTTTTTTCTATTGGATTAACAAAAACAAAGCAAGAAAAATACAAGAAGGAAAGTTAGCTTGAGAGCTAAAATAGAAATGGAGGAAAATCTCTCTCTCTTTTTTTTTTTTTTTGAAGGAATTTTATTTAAATATAACGTAACTACTACAAGTATTTCCTTGTATCTATCTACGTGGCTTAAAACTAAAACTAAACAAATTGCATTAAGTTTACATGGTAACGTTAGATAATACGATGATTGGAAAATCTCTGCAATTGAATATTATGTGATATCATATCTCGAAGATTACCTAGCCATAAAACACTAAAAGGGAAAGAAGTTCATCGGCCCTTAATTCCTTGAGATTTAGGGTAAACCATAGGAGCTAAGTTATTGCTGATAAGGTGAGGTTGGGTAACTGGGCGGTGAGGTAACTGGGCAGTACCCTCTGTATTTCTACCAGATTAGTGCAAAAATTGTTTTCACTGTTGGCATACCTTCATTATGACGTAAACCATCTAGAACATGTAAACATAACTTCAAAAAAAAATTTTATGGTGAATGGTGAAGTGCCGAAAATTGTACAGCTTTTTTTTCAAAACAACGCCAGAGGTGGTCCCGAAAAGAGCCTCATATCTCACTCCCAGCAAGTATTTTATTCAACTTTGACAATTCTTCTTCATGTATGATGTATTTGTGTAATGC